CTGTAGTTGAACTAGTTAAAGTACCTGTAGTTGAACTAGTTAAAGTACCTGTAGTTGAACTAGTTAAAGTACCTGTAGTTGAACTAGTTAAAGTACCTGTAGTTGAACTGGATAGACTGGTTCTCCAAGCTCGTGCGCCTGAAAGCAGACAAAAAACATTTCAATAAAAAATAGTTCAAAATATTTTGTTAAGAGAAGTAAACATTCATCGTATTTTTCGGTTTTCTTAAAGGAACTGTAGACTGTAGAGGTGATGTGAAGTGACCCTACGTTTATAGAGCGGCATGATCCGTTCTCTTAATGCATGGATCAAGAACAAGGAGTATAAAATAGAAGGGAGATGCAACTGACACGGCCTGTCCTTCTATATGATTATGCATGCTTTGCTGACGGTACAACATTTGTATAAGAAATATTCAGGTTATTGTATACGCGGTAATGGTACATCAATCTATTCTATTTAATACTCCTTGATCAAGAAGAAGTGAGATATACATGTTTTTAAAGGAATTGACTCTTTAGAACAAAATAAAATATTTAAACCTCAATATCTTTTGAACTTGATGTTGTAAACCTTTGCTATTTCAAATTCAGATTATTTGATCTATTCATAGTTTGAAATATCTAAGGTCTGCAACATTTGGCTCCAAAGATATAGTGATTATAAAATCAAAGTTTGTGGCAAAGACCCAATTCCTTTGAATTGAATTTGATTAAATGGAGAAAACTTTAAAATATACACAGTAATTCCAAGCTTGAAAAACAACGATATCTCCCGCAAATATTAATCAGATTTACAGAAAATTGTTTTGTCCATCTTTTTTTTAATATTCATTGGTTAGTAAACAAAGTTGACTCCTGGAAACCCATATTTCTTTCCACCTAATCTTCCCTCGTTACCCTTGGTTTCGCCCCCCCTTCATTTTTAGTTGCTCCCTTAAAAAATAAAAAATGACCAAATCCATATTTTCTGTGATCAGTCCCTTTAACACGTAATAATGAATTGAATAAATTATATATTACCGGTTTAGAAGCAGCTGTTTCTTGTGTTATGAAGGAATTCCCGCCAGAAATTATATCATCATATAATTTCAAAGTTTTCATAGAACTTTTACGTAATCAATTATTTTTTTAATTTTTGTGGGCCTGTATAGCGAAAATTGAAAATGTACTTGTATTTTTGGATTGAACACAAAACGCCCAAAACAAAACGAACAATTACAAATCGCCCAATGCAACAAAACGACCAACGTTGTTTTTTTTTGGGGGGGGGGAGGGGTGTTTATTGTAACAAGAAATTTGAGTTTTTTAGTTTTTTAGGCCTGTTTTCTAGGGACTTAATTTATTTCGGCCTGATAACAGGAAATTAACGTTTTTTTTATTTTAAAGAGATCAAAATTTTACCTTGGTTTGTAGGGGATCGGAACCAGGGATATAATGGTTCGGTTCCATTACTGAAAAAAGACCAAAATTAAAATGAATATGATTTAGTAATTGGTCACCCATCCCTTGATCGGCCCAGTTACATTTTCCATAATTTCAGTTCTCATAATAAAGTTTGACTTTTGTAATTTCACTTTTCATAGTAACATTTCCACTTCTCATACTCTTAACATAAGTTTTATTTCTCGTAGTCATAATTCTCAAAGGGTTCACTTTTCAAAGTTTCATTCCTTATAGACAAAAAGGTATATTTTTCGCAGTAATTGTAACAATCTATTTTTTTATAAATTAAGTGAATCCTGTGAGAATTCTGACTATCAGAAATGAAACTTATGAAAAGTGTGTAACCACAGCACAGAAATTAGAATAGAAGGGAAATAGGACTATCCTTGGGTATGAATTTGTTCAGTCCCTATAAGCCTGAAAAGGACTTTAAAGTGTACAATTCATGGAAATGTTCACAAATTATACGCAGTACATCACTTTCTTTTAAGATCTAGATATTTATTTTCTCCGTATCGAGATTATTTTAAAGATGCAAAATTGTTTATAAATCATCACATCACAATAATACATATCATTTACAATTTCTTCTAATTAAAAAAGTGTATGCTGAAATGAACTCGGGAATGTAAAGTAAAGTTATGCTGAAATTAATTTGTTAATGCATATAGGTTGTCAGAGAATTTATTTAGAGATAATTAAATAATTTAAAAAAAGGTTATATAGCACAAATGGTGAAGTACACCTGCAGTATTCTCTCTGATAATATACTAACTAAAGTTACAGGCGTTGCCCGTGAAATAAAAAAAAATCGTATTTTGAAAAACAAAATTAGATTTTTAACTTCGATTTTTGAAAAAAAAAATATTTAAATTTTCCTTTGTTACACTCAGGGTATCCGTTAGTGCCCTCAAAAAATCTCAGCTAATTTGGGCCAGCCGTTTGGTCAGCTAAAGCTAACAAATACATTATATATATATATTTAAGTATTTGAATATATATATAAATATATACATGAGGGAAGAGCTATATTATATAGATATATATTTACCTGACAGTGTTGACAATATATCTAACATATTCCTCGGATCCGTAAAGTCTTGAACTCAGTCTAAAAAATATATATTCATCATTTCATCAAAATTATCTATCAATATACAGAGCGTCCCTTATCATATTAGATTATCTCCAATCTTTACACCGAAATAAACCCTTAATACTCGAAAAACTTATCATTTTCCACAAGAAAATTCTTATATAAGCCCTATATTATTTTTCAAAATGATTCATTCTAATTAAATTTTCTAATTAGTCCCGAAAATCGTAATTTAGACCCATTCTCGGTCTAATATAATGTGGGACACCCTGTAAGTTAGTAAGCTCTCACAGTGGACTTGGGTCAATTTCAATTCGAATCGGACCAAGGATGTAAGGCAAGGAAAGTTATTTCAGAAGTGTACACATCTTTTGTACTGCAGTGTAATGTCTCTGGGCGCTAATGTAAACACAAGACGGATGCAGAAGCCTGACATGGGATCCATCTTTCACATAAAAAAATCAATGAAATATTCTGGTCATAGGAAACTATTATGTGAATTATCAAAATTATCAAAATTTAATGCTTTTAACCTCCTCGGATACTAAACGAACACTGATGCATCTATCATTGTTTACAAATTCCGCCCAGAGAGAACTGGTTTCAATATATACGCAGAGTATACACAACCGCAATTGACTTTCCTTGCATTACACCCTTGAATTGGACCAACCCCTTGTACAGGCTTTAGTGACGTGCGGCAAGTACCGGCCCGACTCTTCCAATGCCGGCTCAGTTTCAACTTTGATGGCGCGGCCAGACTTTTTACAGTACCCGGCCTATCATATTTTGGCCTAGTTTGCGTAGGTAGTGTGGCTAGCTGTTTGTTTGTTTGTCGAGATTATAAATCATGTACCCCTTCATCGATTTGGCTCAAATTTGCATATGGGAATTCGACTCAGTGCAACCACAAAAATGTTCTTAGTTTGGTTTAAAAATTCTAGTAGTTACATAAATATGAAGAATTGTTTAATTTTTTATTCGGAAATGCACTCAAAATGTTAGATATCTAAATTTGATTTAATTTGTCTTCAAATAAGTTTGTTTCTTTTATTTGTCTTATCCTGATATCAAATGTATTACCTGGAATATGCATGGTTAATAATGAATGGGTCAACTGAAACCACTCTAAACATTTAATCAAACTTAAAATCATTTTTAAACATTTTGAAAACTTTGTATCTTTTCAGTTGTAAGAAAATCCACATTGATCAAAATAAGAAAAAACCTTAATTTTTCTTTTACCATTATTTATGGTACTTTCATTTTGTTTCTATCTATTATAAATATTACTGTAAAAACATTGTATAGTGTTTGATTTGATATGATTTGAAGTTCTCTGTTCTACTTTCACAATAAATTTAACATTTATATAAATTTGATATTGAGGCAATTTTTTATTTTCCTCATAGTTTTTCTTAGAAATTAGGCGATCTTTAATAATTTAGTGTCTGTGTTTGAAAAAGTTTTCTTTTTATTATAAAAGTTTGTATTTTACGTCCTCAAATTCCAATTATTTTTTTACTTTTCGGCATCACAAAACGCTTGTATTGACATTTTGATAATTTCAAAGAAATAAAGTCAAAACATTTGTTTGCGATGGCGCGCTATCAATAAAAACATTTGATCTCAATAAAAAAATACTCTTAAAGAGTGTAGGCAAATTATATCATTATTTTTGAAATGGCTAAAATATTAGTAGTAACGGAATCTTGACTTTTTGTTGAGGGGGGTGGGGATGACAACAATAAAAATCATAAAATTCCTGATTTCCACCTGTATTTTAAAGCAGCTGCGGCTACACTGAAAGTCCCAAGATTTGCTCCAAGATCTGACCATTAAGGAGTTTATTCTCAATACAAATAATAAAGTCTGAATGGACTTGAATACTTCCCTCAAACTCTAGTTTTATAATCTTATAATGATATTCAAACTATGTATATAAAAGGTTTACACCATGAGAGAGTTAAAAGTGATTTTACGGATCCTCTTCACCATACTCCTTTTACTGAGGTTAATTGTATGGCAGTTGTTATAGCCAAATGTTAGACCTGGCCATGGCTCATCTACCAGCAGAGTACTGGTTGAGTTATTTAGATGATATCCAAGGGAACACATGGAACATAATACAAGCTCATACTAAAGCAGAGATCAGGATACAGCCATAGAAGACCAAGATTTTTCAGTCGGAAGTAGAGAATTTAGGACATAAAGTGAGTAAAGATGAAGGATAATATCAAGAATGTACAGAACTGGCCATTCCCAATTAGCTGTAAGGAGATGTCTTCATTCCTCAGGTTTGCAGGATATTATAGGAGTTTCATTCCCAGGTTCTCAGCTTTGACAAACCGAATGAATTTGATGAAGAAGGCTTTGAAATTAGAGTGGTCAGATGACATGGAGAAATAATTTAAGGAATTAAAAGCTGAGTTCACAGCAGGAAAGATTCAGGCATATCCAGACTTTGACTCCAATGACCCCTTCATTCTCACCACGGACTGGTCTGCTTTGAATATTGCTGGTATACTGTCTCAAAAACAGGAAGGAGTGGAACGTTTTATCGGTTGCTCGGGCGGGAAGTGCAACTGATACAAGAAACATTATCCATATTTGAAGGGAGAGCTATTGGCTTTAGTGAAGAGCATGGAGAGATTGAAGCATATCCTGAAGTACTTACCCCCCTTTTTAGTGTATACTGACGTGTCCAGCCTGAAGTACATTGTCAATATAAAATCTGATGAAAGTATTTTTCAACAGAGTTGGCTCAGTTCTATAGTGATTCACAAGAAGGGGATAGAGAATGTGAATACAAACGAATGAGATGGGAGCAGTTCTAAATTTGATGCAAAACCACTGATCCAACAGCTTTAGTAAGCTCAAGAACTGGAACATCGCCATACAGAGAAGATGATACGCAGAGAAATGAAGACAGAGGTGAAGTTAATCCTATTCTAGAAAACCAATCAGAACGTGACAGTGGAATTTGGGAAGAAATCATATCAGGGGAAATGGAAGCAAACCCCCTTCCCCACTGTCTAGGATACAGAGATGTAGATATGGAAAAATGCAATAACCTTATGGAAACACCAAACGTAGATGGGATCCAGCAGTAAACACTTAATCCTAACTGGGATAATTTCAAAATAGGGTTTCCAGTCGAAATGTTTTGTAGCACGAAAATCGTGCAAAAGTTGCGCAAAGATTTGCTTACGAATCGAGTAAAAATTGCAAGAAATCTTGATGTTTTTACACATTGATGCACAAATTCTGAAGAAAATCTTGGTTTTTGCGTATTTCGTTAGTTCTTGCTATTTCGTGATTTCGAGCTATTTCGTTATTTCGTTAAATTTCGAGAAACGATTACAGGAAATGATGAATAAATTCAAAATTAAACCAATCAGAGTCAACTATACTCCAGCCTACTCGGCGCTCACACATGCTGGCCGAATGAGCCCCAATTCTCAGGTTTTAGGTCACCATACCGCACTGACTATTACACCATTTACCGGCAATCAATCTCAAGTAGAAACTGAGTTACTCATGAATTAATTAATCATAATCACATTCATTGATCATCAGTCTGGTTAGCCGCGCAGCTAGGAGGGGGCAAGACCCCCCTTGCCTTAAGAAGGCTTGCCCCCCCTGTAGGGGGGGATGGCAACAAGAAGTCCACCCTGACCCCCCCCCATTTCTAATAAATACAGTATACAAACATACCTTTTATGTTTATCCTTAACTACGCAAAACTTGTAGACTTGCTGCGCATTTTGATTAGCTTAACTTTGCGTATATATATATATATATATCTGCATAAATCTTGTAAATACATATATCAACTTAACCTGTGACATAGATTTCTAAATACTCTTTAGTTGGAATAGACTCTGCATTAATTACAGTGAGAGAGTAATTTTTTCCTTGTTTTAACAAACGAGTTGACAAGATTGTGTCTGGCTTTGACATTGATAACTGAAGAGATTGTGTCCAGTGGTTTGGAATTGATAATTTATTAGCTTATGTCTGTGTTGACATTGATAGCTGACAAGATCGTGCCTATTGGTTTGACATTAATAGTTTACTTGCTTTTGTCCATGTTGACATTAATAGCTGAAGAGATTGTGTCCCATGTTTAGCATTGCTACTTTGCTAGCTTGTGTCCCTGTTGACAATGTTAGCTGAAGAGATCGTGCCCGTGTTCGGCATTGATAGTTTACTTGTTTGTGTCAGTGTTGACATTGATAGCTGAAGAGATCATGCCTTTGATTGGCATTGATAGCTTACTCGCTTGTTTCCATGTTGACGAGTTGTACCTGGGGATTGATACGGGTTTGAGAGCAGTTTTAGGAGTAGGGCATTTACTACAAAACAAGATAATAACTCCCCTAGAAATGTTGCATCCGGATAATCAGTGGTTAGTGAGAGAAAGAGTTCCACCTCTCCTTGTTCAAACATACCTTTTAAATTCAATGAAATATCTGATGAAATCTATAATGAAATATTTAATGAAATATTTAATGAAATCTTAAATAAATTATCTTATGAAGTCTATAATAAAATATTTAATGAAATATTTAATGAAATATTTAATGAAACATTTAACGAAATATGTAATGAATTATTTAATGAAATCTTTAATAGAATATTGAATAAAATATTTGATAAACTGTTTTTATTTAAATGATTAAAATATTTCATAAAATATTAAATGAAATATATCTATAAATAAGATATTTAATCAAATATTTAATCAAATCTATAATGAAATATTTAAAGAAAGATTTAAAATATTCAATAAAATATTAAATGAAGTATATCAACAATGAAATATTTAATGAAATATTAAATGAAATATACAATGAATGATATTTTCTGTTTTATTTTAATTTAATAAAATGTTCAATCATATATTTAAATAAAAACGTAAGGGGAGTGTTCTCGAAAAATGAAAGGTGGTATATATAGGCTTACGTCGAAAAATATTCGATGGTGATTACTACTAATCTTACATCTATCTGTTGCGTCTGTAAGGAGAAAATTGTTAAAAACCTAATAATGTGTCCATATACGAATTCAGAAAGTTGAAATATTCGACTCGGATCGTAAAAATTCAATTTAATTCCAAACAAATCATTCAGATATTACAACCTGTAATCATCGATTAGGTTTGCTCGATTCTATAATCATTTGAATTTAATAATTTTTCATTTTTAATAATTATAAGTCCGTATCACATGACCAGAACTCCCACCAATGGCAGTGCAGTATTATTGTCACGTCACGTGATACGGACGGATAAATAATATTATCCATTATATCTTTTATAAATGAAAGATTATTAAATTCAAATAATAATAGAAGCAAACCTAAGATACTGAGGCTCCTCTGGGATATCGTCGTTTTCAGATTGGTTGCGTATTTGCTGAATATGATCTGTTTAAACAGCTACTATTTTTATACGAAATTTAACATACGTAGATTTTCGTATACATTTGACACAGTTTTATGTCAATTTCTCGAGACAGGAACATTAGATAGGGTCTCGATTAACTCCTAAAATACTAAGAATTCAGTCTATACCCTCTTTCATTTTCCTTTACAGTCCCTTTAACCATATATAGATTTGCCCAATATTTACACTTTTATATTTACTAGAAAAGATCGGTTCAGCCGTTTTGACGTTTATTGGATACAAACAGACAGACAGACAGACAGACAGACAAACAGACAGACAAGCCAAATTTATATATAGATGTCTAAACCTTTTATGAGCTGCTACAGAGATACTAAAATTATATCTTTTTTTTTACATTTGGTTTCATCAATAAATATTTAAAAAGCTTGACATTAGAATTAAAGATTATTTGAAACATTTGATTATTTGGAGTGGGGAGAAGGTGGTTCAACTAGGACCGGACATTTCTGCACTGTAGTTTGGTCTTGTCACTACTCGTATATTACAATTTGAACCACTCTCAAAGAAATTATATAAAAAAATATATCTACTCACCAGATCCCATAATTACATCAGATATATACTGAAAAATATAGAAAATAACTTTAGGGGTTGAAAGATGACATTTGTTACATACATAAACATCAACTACATCAAATTGAAGAATATTAAAAAAAATAATTATAAGAGAGATACATTTTAACAAGGTTGTCTGATAAAAGACATTTTTTTGCTGACTCTAGCTTATGATTCACATATCCTTGTAACATGGTGTAAACCTTTTGATATGTTAAACGTTTATTATTTGCAGAATTCACAAGTTGAAATATCATCAAAGATGTTTATCATATCATCAGGTTGCTAAGATATAAGAATAATATAGTGTACTAGCCTTAATTGTGAACATGTTCTCTTTGTGTACATCGTAAAACAAAACAAAAATAATTCGCGGATTTTCACAAAAAATTTCGTGGATTTTCAAAATTTTTAAAAATTTAATGACGATCTAATTTTGATGGAGACAAATATTTAAAATTCAAATCATTCATACACCTTCCCTGGGGTCCCTAGATGTCCCACAAAAAATTTGGGCCCGATCGGTTCAGCCGTTTTGACGTTTATTGGATACAAACAGACAGACAAACCAACAAACAAACAAACAAACAAACAGACAGACAAGCCAAATTTATATATAGTGTATTTCAGAGCAACTAGCAAGATTAGCAAGATTCATGTCTCATGTTCACTGTGAATGAAAGGTCTCAAGATCTCAAGCAAAAATAGATGAGAGTTTTCCCAATTATTTCTTAAAAATCACAGCTAACAAGTTAACAACGAGTGTTTAACAGTGATAAAATGTATGTGTTAAGGGCTACAGAAAAGCAGTAAGATAAAGCGGTAAAATCAAAGCCCAAGGCGCGCGTTACGACTTCAAAGTCGACCCGTTGATGGGACTTTTTATAAACAGGTTGAATCTATGTGTGCTTTATTTAGGCCTAAAAGAATCACTATTGCTTAATAACCTGGTATTCTACTTACATCGTTGGGTTTAGCACACATTATGAAGCTAATTTGTTGAGGGGTAATCTTCGGAGTTCTGCAGAGAAGTTCTTACAACTGATTTAGTATTTTTACAGCTTCTGCCCGAATGATAAGCACCGGGAGAAAAATTTAGTTTAAATGGACTGTCAGCAAATTTTGAGCGACCCTCCATTTAAGAGCGTCATAGCATCGTTTTTCTAGCTTCTAGAGGGTTTTCTGAAGCAAGAAATTCAGAGCTCCGTGCTGAAAACTTTAGAATGGAATATCCTTAATCCCGATCGGTAAATAAATCTGAGCTGAAACTTTAGAATGGTATATCCTTAATCCCGATCGATTAATTAATCTTGAGATTAATTACAAGAGGAGAACAAGCATTATTTAATCTCGAGATTAAAAAAAAGAGTGGATCAAGCATTAATATATCCACCATTCTAAAGTTCACAGCTTTGAGCTGAAAACTTTAGAAAATTGGATATCAAGATTATCAAGATTAATGCTTAATCCTCTCTTTTTGCTAATCTTGACTAATTTAGTCTTCAGATTAATTTCTAGAGATTAGAGATGCGTTATTTAACTTTTGAAAAACCGGTTTTTAATTGTCCCGCATTTGTGGTGTCATATTAATTGGACTAATAATTGATTGAACGAGCGTTTTTATTGTTTATTAAGACTAAAGTTCAAAAGGGCTATAGTCCTCAAATGTGGTAAAATTAAATTGTATTTGTTTAAATGCTCTAAAAGTTGGCTTGTAAACTGCTGACTTTAGTTCAACCATATTTTAGTCCAATCGACATAGCATCGTATCTGTATTTGCAATCAACCGTATCTTTACATGTAGTAGGAAATATGATATCCAACAAGAGCGGATTAAAAATGAAATTAAAAAGGAACTTAACAGTGGATATTCAGATTAAGGGATCGGGATTAAGGGTATCCCATTCTAAAGTTTTCAGCTCTGACCTGCTAAAATGTTTTTTGAATGCTTAGAATTGCAAAAAACTTTTTCCAAAAAAATTTGAATTTCGTCAAATTTTAAAAATCCACTTAAAAATTGAAATCTAGTTTGTTATTTAAGTTACAGATCTAAAAATTACATTTATGAAATGCCCTTGAAAAATTAATAAAAAATTGTGTAAGAAACTAAAATTATTTAATACATTTTCCCAACTTTTTTATCTCTTACTAGGGGGGTCCCTAAGCCGTTTATGGGTTAATATTAAATTCAAAACTTGATTTTTTTTAATACCTAATTTTTATTTATTTATTTTTAATATTTATTATATATACAGTGATAACACAGAAAACTGTAGAATAGGAACAGACGTTAAAGCAAAGCTCGAGTGCAACTGATGTTGTTTTTAAGCAAATAGATTTTCTTGTAAGTTATAATCACTTATTAAGTGAAATGGTTCTGTTTACACTGCATAATTGCTGTGCCTCATTAACGTCATCTATTTAAAGTCTTAACTTGAGTCGTAAAGTCGACTTCCTATTCCAGAGTTTTATGGTTATCACTTTAGAAAGTATAATAGTATGATAAAAATTTTAAAAAAGTGTCTGTGACTCCTCTCAACCCTTTTGTCTGACTATACTGATATTTATTTATTAGATCGTAAACTGTATGTAAGATTCAAGTGTTTTTAAGCTACGAAGACCTGATTTGTTTCTCCGGATTTGTCACGAAAGAGAAACTAGGGTTTGAAACCCAGCTCGTAAATCGTTAGAAAATGTTTTGTTATGAAAAACATGTATGTTTTTGTTGTTCTTTGATCTAACAAGGGTGCGGGTCTCTTAATCTCTGCTTGTTGTAATTTAAAAAGGGTAAAAAGGCCTCTATTCTAGATATGGAAGTGCATGTGCAATGTATCTACATACTGGCCTTTTTGTAGAACGTATTTTTAAGGGATGGGCATGCCCCCCTTAATCAGGCTAGGGGGGGCCTTGCCCACCCCTTCCCAGAGTTGCGCGCCTGTGTACACCCCGCCAGGAGTTGCGTGGTGGTCCAGAAGATAGGACGGGGCCGAGATTCAAAGCTGTCTCACTAGTTGATGCTTAATCTTCATAATTGTGTAGCTCCCTCTGTTTATTAAGATCTAGGCTGGTGGTGAAACCCTAAATATAAACCAAGTGTTTTCTGAAGTAGGAGGACTTAAAAATATCATGAAATCATGATATTTTTTTCCATGTTCAAACAACTGAACTTAATAAAATAATAACAAAGTGCAGCATGCATTAAAGTCAATAGAACTATAATATAATAAAGTAAATAATACGATAAAGTAAAGAGGTCTTTGTTGTTTGCTGCACATTATCAAGTGAACACAATTTTAGTAGTATTTTACTTTAAACAATTAACATTACTAGACTCGGAAATTCTAAAGTGTGGTCTGGTCTACTCTTGACATTGACATTTATAAATCTGTACAGGAACCGAATATAATAAATTTACTTGGTCGTTGAACTGCCAACACCGGTTCAAATTTGAAACCCTTCTCGAATCTTAACTTTAAATCAGTGGTTCAAATTTGAACTGAATGTAGTCAGCAGTTTAGCAACACAGCTCAAATTCTTTATATTCCTTCCCAGAGTTAATTTTGAAGATCCAACGTAAGCATTTTTAAAAGTTCAAAATATGTGCAGTCTATTTGTCATTTATCAACTATCCAAATTCAAATAATTTTCAAGTAGTCTACTTAAAGGACTTGAAGAGACTGAAAGAAATTCCCTTTCCAAAGATGGCAATGCCAGAGCTATACAACGAGTATACCAAATAAGGCTTTGTCTGATCAAGTATGAACTAGATATTCATGGTTTTTTTACAGCTGATTATTTTCACTTGAGGTTTTCTGTAAAAGTTCAACAGAAAAATGTTTTTTTTTTTTTCATCTTTAGAATTACTCATCAGAAATAGGTTTCAAGGGTAACGTTGTGAATCGGGCATTGTCAGCTCTTTCCACTGAGTTACTTGAAATTACGTTCATTGCCTTTTTAAGTCTTCATACGACTAGTCTTTTGATTTGATGAATCCAAAGAAAACATATTTAAGCATAATTCTACCCAAGGTACTGATGCAAGGAAAGTTATTTCAGAGGTGTACGCATTTTTTGTACTGCAGTGTACTGTCTTTGGGCGGAAAAGTAAACACAAGACGGATGTCACAGCCTGACATGGAATCAATTTTCACAAAAATATTCAATGAAATATTCTGGTCATAGGAAACTAAATGTGAATTTTCAAAATTATCAAATTTAAATGCTTTAAACCTCCTCGGATACCAGACGCACACTGATGCATCTATTCTTGTTTACAAATTCCGCCCAAAGAGAACTGGTTTCAATTTGTATGCAGAGTATACGCGACCGCAATTAACTTTCCTTGCATTAGTACCTTGATTCTATCTATCTATCTGTCAGTTTTAGCTCATTACTTGTTATCCCCCAGATTTTATAAGCCGAACACTTCAAATAGCGAAAATGTTTACGTCAATAAATAATTTGAATTTTTTCAATTAGTTCAAAATAACTACTAAACCAACTCATACGGTAAAATTTATTTACAAATAATGTAGAATAATAATTACAATACAAATAATGTAGAATATTAATCAAAATAAAAATAATAAAAGTAGAATATGCATTTAATGAAATATAAACGACTAGAAAATTAATTAATGTCAACTAATTATAGTAAATATTCAAATCTAAGTCAGCATTCAAGTATAAATAAATATGGCTTTAACAAGTTGATTAAAACCAAAATGATGTTTCAATTAATTTTTATTGTTTACTTAATTATAAAACAACTGTCAAGACCCTCTGAGAGATCTTGTTAATCGAAAAAAGGTAAATTTACAGGGCAAAAACGGTGGCATATGGTGAAATAGTCCTTCTTTTTATGTAAAATATTTTATTTTATTTTATTTTATATTAGCCTAAACAAATAGCAATTTGGGATATAGCTCGTTTTTTACAAATTTCCTTCAGTCCACGCCAAAGTTATATTAATAATATTTTTGCAACTTGGATTGGAATACAATGAATTCTTAAGAAGTGGGTTAAAGAGACATTCATTAATGTGAATCATTGATGGCACGCAATTAATAAATGATGCATAATTATTTCGTTAAAAATTCGTTTAATAAAACAAATTGATTAAATCACCTGTTATTTTTGACTTTTTAAATTAAGAATAAAGGAAGCAGAACTAAAAAACGGAATGTTACATTTTTGGTAATTGTTTACACATTGTTAAAAACATACAGCTCGACATAATTTTGATATCATAGATATATATAAAAATGAGGATAAAAGGTCAAGAAGTACATATAACTAATAGTTTTTAAGAACTAAGCAATGCCCTGAAGAATGAAGAATATCGCTTTTAACTAAATATCTTTGGTTGAGATTTTACGTCAGGTGTACATCTGTACATAAGGTCAACTTTGTACAATTATAAGCATACAACTGTACGGAAAGTACAGTTAAAACTGTACGGGCTGTACAGTAGTCAATTTGATTAAAAATATCATGTATTAATACGTTTGTGTAGAGTAAGTGTTATTCAGTGTACTTACAGTACTGATTGTTGAGTGTACTATTAGAAGTGTCGGCCATTTTTAATTTTTTTTAACATTTCAGTATTTTTGGCTCCACAATGATCAACGAGGTCCATCGTATTACAAAAATCATTTTCTGCTAGTTTCCTATCAGTATAATTTGACAAAATTTTGACCCTCAAAGAAAATATCGGGAGAACAGAAGAAAAACAATTTATAGTTGAGTAGAAAGAAATGGCTAACAAACAATGACCAACACAATAACTTCAAGTACTGCCTACTTGATTTACGGTGTACGCTAGACACTGAATGTTCAATGTAATAAGAGTACTGAATAGTGAATATTCAACAGTAGATCCATAAAACCATAGAAAGACGACATTTAAGTAAGGTTATTTGTGTTTTAGGTTTTTATAGCAAATATTATACCAGGTTTTAAACTGAGATGGATTGTGTATACTGCACAATTGGACTATCTAATATCATGATTGATTTAAGTCTCAAATTCATCTTCCTATTCCAGTTTATGGGGTTCCCTGTATGTATGTACATGATTTACATGGATGACTGTTGTGAGATTGTATTCCTATGTACGAGATCAGCCCTGTGCTCCGGAGTTATCTGTTCCGTCGTATTCCGTTTCGGAACCCGCATATGGATTATCCGACGTTTGTCTTCTGGATGAATAAGTTCGTCCTGTCTTCTCCACTCCCAGTCTTTAGCGTCCTGTTTGGCGCGTTTCCGGTCAACCCAGCTGATAAGGCAGGATATAGGAACCCAGAACAGTAGAGATACAAATATAACTGTACCAACAACATTATCCTTCAAGAATTTAAGCACGGATGTGATGCTGATATCTTTAAATATATCAATGATCCGAACTATTGGGTCAGGACTGGACTTCTCACACTGGCCCTGATGGCAGAAACCTTGATAACAGGGGGTTCCGTCCGGTAAGATATCACTAGGTTTCACAGCGTTACAAGAACTATTCAGATTTTTCCTACAGCATCTCTTACACGCGTCTTCAATGTTGTTATCACACATACAGGACTGTTCACCCTGGGTTTCACAGTACGGGATACATTTTCCGTCCCGACATTTTCCTTTCTCAATACAGTTGGTTTCGTCCGGCATATGATCAGATTTCGGGCACTCGGCCGAGGTTCCGGTACAGGAGGCTTCTTTCTCACACGTGGCGTAGTTTGCTGCTCGACACTTAGCGTTAACCGCCATATACTGACAGTTGTTACAGCAGGGGGAGTTCTTATCACTGCAGATACTTCCCTCCCGGAGTTTACAGTTTTCATCACAGCATGCATCCCGGTCCTCGGAGCCTAGTAAACCTGCATCACACTCTTCCTCTCCTTCTACCCGTAGGTTTCCACAGAAGGATTCCTCTGGTTCTGTAAAGCATCTGGAAGATTTAGCGAGCAAAACTTTACGGATGAACCTCAGTGAACAAGGAGAAAACTTCTTGTTGTTTACATCATACCCGGATACACTGTAGGTGTACATAAGATACGATCCACCCTGACTAGCAGAGGGACTACAGTCCGGCACATCAGGATCGTGCTCCGAGCCCCAGTTGTGTCCAAACTCATGAGCCGTCACAAGATCAGCTTCTCTTGTTATCACCCGCTGTCCATAGTGGTTTCTGCTGGAGCTAAGCCCAGAGTTTAGATACAATGTGTACCCGTTCTTGAAGTACTCTGGAGTACAGATACCTCCGACACTATTTCTCCGCGGAGAACCTACATAGGCTAGACCCAGGATACCTCCTTCGAACTTTATATCCGTGAATAAATGCGCGAGACAGAAATCTTTATGAGTGTACTCTCTACTAAACACTTCGAGTAGATTTCTCACGTCCCAGGAGGATCTGAAAAATAAATATTTTTTTATTCAGGACAAAATACTGAGTCAGAAAAAAAAATTCTCGTTCTCAATTACACTATGTATTGCCTTAAGTAAGCACAATTATATACGGTCACCTTAAAATAAATTTCAAGTTAGATTTATCAAGTGTTTAATCAGAACTCTCCTAAATCCTTTATCCTAAATAATATTAATTTTGCGGAAGAATAAGTGGTCATGAAATAAATGATAGGNCCCCCGTTTTTTGAGTATAATCCAAAATTCAAAACAAAACTCAATTCCATTTCTTACAAAACAAATCACAAAAAGTAAAAATATCTTATGAAGACTAAATTTATGGCTAAATCATTTCTAAAATCTAATTTCAAAATTCCCCATTTTATTTCTTAAATAAAAGTGATTTCATTTCTCGCATTTAAAAAAACAGTTTCTATATTGTAAGAACAAAATGATATTAATATTTTGATTTCTCAATACTATAATTATTTTAAATATTATAAAAGAACAGTCTTATTTTATTTTCTATTTTGTTAATATTTTACTTTTACAAAAAATCTAATTTTGTTACGTAAGTGCATAAATGCTGAAAAATTGACATTGATATGAAAATGAAAACGATTATCAACAAAAACAATTTCTTTCACCTTATTATTAGTTTAAAGTAGACATTTATTGTTTCAATAAATAGTTTTAGCCATTTTTAATATTTTTTTGGCGCAGGTTTAAAGATGCGCTTGGAAAAGAAAATTATGCAGATTAGGCCCATTTCTAACGCTAAGTGTTAGAAATGGGCCTAGTGTTAGTTTGGGAACTAATTTCCCCTGAATTTATCATAGATGAAAAGCTGAGTAAAGGATGCTAAATAAAATCAGACACCCTGTCTCTGAGTATCTGACCTGAACATATTGTAATGAACCTCGTTCTCCCTTGTCTGAGTTGGTTTCCTGTGCACAACGATCTTCTTGATGATGAATCCCATGTTGGAGAACCCGCCTGACTCCGGGGTATCCCGCCAGACTGTGTCCTCGTAGATTTTATGAACTCTGTCGATTAAACTGATTAAATAGTTGACTGTAGTTTTAGAATTAGATCCTCCCATCTCCTTGTAGAACCTGGAATACAGAGATATATATATTTTTATTAATAAACATTAAATATTTTTATTGTTAAGAATAAACTAGGGGAAATTATTTTTACATAAAAAAGAGACAAATGAACTAACTTTTTTCCGCAAATTCTAATTTTCCAACCTCTGTATCATCTTCAGAGTATGAAATATCAGGTTTTTGACATTGGGTTGCATAAATTTAGAAAAGAGAAAATCAGAGTTAGTGGCAAACACTCAGTTTCTTTTGGAAGATTAGGAGGAAAATGACAAGTTGGATTTCTCAAAATTTATAAAAAAAAAAAATACTCTGTTTTCCCCGAGTTTTCAATCGTGGTTAGGGGATGGGGTAGAGGATAATATTTTAAACCACAATTCTCAGAATTAAATCAAAATTTTAAAATCTAGTATTATGTATGCATGATTACAACCTCTCTTCTCAACCCCCCGCCCCCCCCCCCCCTCCACAGGAGTATTGACCAGTGTTCATTTAGTTCTTAACCATTTTGCATGCCATTAAATAATACCCACTACAGGAGCTGAAAATGCACCAACCTGTAGTCCGCTACTAACAGCAGTGGACATCTCGTCTGCCGAAGCGAACCCTCACCGGCCGTTGCGTAGAACGGTTCCGACGATCTTTTACTCCTCGTCTCATTCTCATCCCCTTCATCCAAGTCAACCGTCCCGTTCTCCCGAACAAAATCACAAACTTTCGGCGGAATGAAACTATTTTCGTCTGGCTCCGTCCAAGAAAACTTGATGTCCGACTCCTTATATGCAATCATGGTTTGTTGATCAGTGTTTGGTAAATGTCTCCATGAGGGTTCAATGTGATAAACATCTTCCGAAGTAAATATATTCGCTGTTATAACTCCGTCTTCCATGTGAACCTGGGCTCTAGACTCCGTCTCTCCAAACACGCGTCCGTCGTAGAAAGATTCATGATCAATCGGAATAAAATGTTCCTTTTCTTCCTCGCCATCAATCTCTACAGCTTTAAAGTTAGGACTCAGCAAACCTTTCGTTGGTGATAAGATTAGACGGAAATTCTTCCCCAGAGCTTTAAAATCAATTTCTTTGATTTGATTGAACTTGTGCTGGCTTGGATTGATTCCTCGTTTAACAACGTTGTGACTAATTTCGTCTTTGTGGATTGTTTCAAAATATCTGAGATTTTTCGCGAGATCAAAACCATGAGATTCTAGACATATAGCAGTAAGAAGGAGCAATGCTAAAGCATACATTGTTTGAGATTGCTTGTTACTTTGAAATATTGCACAATAGATCCACAGAATAGCGTTTGTAATTACATTTGGAACACAAAGAGTTTTGTTTCCATCCTCCGTCCGTGTCTGTGTTTCCTTGTGCGCAGGAATCAATATAATGCCGCAAATACAACTTGCAAGAGTTCTTTTAATTTGTCGTCTTTGTTAAAGTTATTTTAGAGATGTAATAAGAAAAGACAGGTTTGTATTACAATTGAACATTAGTGCAAATGAACAAAAATCGAGCTTTACTTTGTTCAATCGGACTAAAATTTTCTTCTTCCGCCAGGAATATTTTATTTAATCCAGCAAGTAATATTTAGTACAAATTATCATCTGCAGATGTAAAATATTTGTTCAAACGAACTATTTTTTCTGTGCTTATTAGTGCAATTGAACGTTAGTGCAAATGAACACTTCCAACAAAAAAAATTTCAAATGGACTAATGATATTTTTTCTGTAAATAAATTCGTGCAATTGGACATATTAGTGCAAATAAACATTTTAAACAAAGGATATTTCACTGTTTTAAAATACAGGGTGTCCATATCATTAGATCGTATATTTTAGTTCAAAATTGTGATTTTAGGGACTAATCAGAAAATTAAAAAAACAATGAATCATCTTTAAAAATGTAAAAGGTTTCTAGAAAAGATTTCTTCCAGAAAATTCTATGTTTTTCGAGCTTTTTGTGCGTATTTTGGCGTTATAAAGCTTGGAGATAATCTAATATGATATGGTGGGACGCTCTGTAGATCTGTAGCTTGAATTTTATATATATAGGTCATTTTCTAATTTTCAACCCTCAGTGCTTACAGCATACAAAATACAGTATACAGAATCATAGCAAACTTTGAATATTAATATCTCAATTTTTCAAGAAAAGATTATACCAAGCAACTTATCATAAAATGGGGAGGGGGTGCAAATTTATTTGAATTAGAAAGGGGGTGCACCTGTCCCCTTGCAACCCCCCCTTGTACGTTACGGCCCTAGATTTTACTTAAGTAGGGGAGGGGAGGGGAGCTGAGCCCCTAGAGCTCCCCCCATGTGGGTGTCTTTGATTGAAAATTGTGAGAAAAAATCTCTGCTGTATCACAACGAATGTTGCTTTATGCAGAATTTTGTCCAGAGGGTGCCGGTTTTTTAAAACAAAACGGCCGTTTTTATAACGAAACGGTAGTTATTAAAAACGACCTTTAGTTAACGACCGTTAACGACGGGCCTTTCGTTAACGATCGTTAACGATGACAATTCCTTAACGACCTTTTAAAGAGAAAATACATTTTTTGGTCTGAAAATCCGAGGTCAGTTTAAGACAACATTCAATACCTTATCTTCCTAAAAAAAAAAATTTCATACAACTCAGATTTATTGGCGTAATTTTTTTTTCAAAATCGCTCGTTTCTAGAAAAAAGAACGAAAAACGATCGTTTTTTCGACCGTTTAAAAAACGATTAACAACCCTAGATATAAACTAGAGGAGTTTGGGGTGGAGTGACCGTCCCTGGCTTCCTAATCCTAACTAAGGAAACGAAAAAAGGAATCAAATCATTAAAGACAGAGGCGAATGGTAATAATACATGATTTAAAAAAGATGAGAAATTAAAATATTTTACTCAACAAATGAATTTATGAAATGAAAAATAGTTAAAATATTGAATTAAGGATTCCTGGGGAAAAGTTAATTTGCTTATGTACAGGGTGTCCCAAAAAACATGGGAATTCAGTGACGAATTCGATATCGTCTTTATGAATAATTCTTTGATTTAGTATAGTGATACCTACTGAGAAAGCTGTAATCTGTAAGAGTTTCGTCTGCTATGTTTACATTTTGTTTGTTTATGTTTTGACTGCAACCGGCTGTACTTAGTAAAACAAGAAAATTACAGTATACAAACAGAGTAAACTTGTCCGTATTCACTGTTCATCTTGCGGAGACATTATAGACACATCTTTGCAGTCTTTTACCCTTTTCATTAAATAAACTCTAGCAGACATAATAATATTAAGGCTTTTGAAATTAGGTATTACAATGCTAATTCATAACAAAGACGATATCGAATTCGTCACTGAATTCCCATGTTTTTTGGGACACCCTGTAGTATATGTACATGGCCATGTTACAGTGTGCTTCATTAATGTACATTTTATTTCCAATTGTTTTATTAATTACTTTAACAAATATTATCTTCGACATCGTCCAGTTCTTCAATTGAAATTTCTATTTAAAAGATTTGTGTTTGATAGATTAATATCTTTTATTTAAGAATTTCTTTTAAATATTTTGAAAAATATATCCTTGTAAAATGTTCTAATCTCTTCTGCAAAATAATAAATCATTTTAAACATGAGATTATTTTTATAGGTCAGGTTTAATTCCTCTCTAGTATCCGGGAATAATTCTGTTGTGTAAATTTACAATGCATTAATTAAAAAATTCAACATAAAATTTATTTTTACTGTAATCGCATTCAATGTTTTTGTCATTTAAAATTTGTTGAATGGATCTATAGATAGGAATTGTTTAAATATATCTTTTAAAAATCAAAAATACCAAATTAGACATCAACAAATTTTTAGAATTAACAAATTAATAAAGATGAAAAGGTTTCATTCAAATGCTTTTCTTTAATTTAGAGGAAAATTTATTTTTGAATAGGCCTCCTTATACCTGCAGCAGTTCCCTTTAAACCTTTTTAATCAATAATGTGGAAGATATCGTCGGTTTGTTGCTCGACAAGAGATTGATACTCACCAATTTCCTCCATTGTCTCTGAAACATCAATCCACAATTGTTGCTTTAAATGAGAGACCAATATTTGCAAATAATCTTTTTTCCATCTCAAATCTGAGTTCGTTTCCCTTAAGTCCATTTGACAGCCCAAATTTTTATTTTGAATAATCTTTTTTGTTTGGTTATCTTCTTGTGATTTTTTTACATTTTTTTATTTTTTTTATCGACTTTGATGGTTATCATATCTACTTTTTTACTCTACAGAGGTTTGGTCCATCAACATTACCGAATTTGTAATCAATTTTTACAGAGAAAATCAGGGATATCACATTCATTCTTGATCAATGAAAGCATTAAGGGGTACCTTGAGAAATCGGACACTATCAAATGCAGGGTTAATTAACATTTTGTCGATAGTCGCAGATGGTTTAACCAATGAACAATAGAAAAGTATAGAATCAAATATTTGAGCAAAGATTAAGAATTGCATCAATAAAAATTTTCAAATATTTTGAGGAGTAAAAGTTTGTTAATTACATGTTTCAGGATTCAGAGTTTAGAAATATGTAGTTGACTCTAAATAATTCATTAAGAAGTAGAAAAATGACACATTATTATTTCTAAACATTTCAAATTGAAAAAGAAACACATGAAACATTTATTATTAAAAAAATACTTTACAGCTAAATCATGAATATTAAAAAAACTAAATTAGTTTCACTTATTTTTTTAGAATCTGTGTAAACTGCTTTCCTTATTTGCAATGATCCATTTTCATTTGCTAAATTAATGATTATACGTTTTCATAAAACAGAATTGTTATTAATTTCTAATTTTAAGTTGATTACATCAAGTGCTAAAGATTCAGTGTTCGACTATTAAAGATTTCTACAGTGTGCCATGGTCAAAATAGAAGATTTTTTTTTGAAATTATGCCTCACTGTAACATACTGCTCTTTATACTCTGACTCAACAATATTTATTTAAAAACATGTCAGTATAACACAACCCTTATCATAAACTTATTCAGCAAATAAACCTTTTTTAGGCTTCTTTGTCATTGTATCACAGTAAGGCATGAAAATTTAAAGTAAACATGTAAAGATAGCAGGATATAGGTTTAAAAATATCCACATGCATCCGTTCTATTTCATTTTCTCCGCTGCTGTAGAATGAGACGGGTTTTAGCTTCTCTTATTCTAGCTCCGTTACTATCTCCAGGGTTGGGATTGGACTGTCCGGCGGCTCAGGGTCTGTATCCGGATCCACAGGATTGTAAAAAGTTCTACCAATGCTCAGATTGGGTTCCTTACAGGTGATACAGCTTAAAGAGAACAAAAACATTTCAGTAACTTAATATTTGGATTGTTAAGTACGTTCTTAGTTTCTAACTCCACACTCTGATGACTTATCTAAATCAATTCCAAAGTAGTCTTGTAGTGTGTATTAGATTGTTTTATTTGCACTTTTCAAGTTTTTTAATTTCAGTATAAATCTAATTTCGACGTTGTGTTAAATTACTAATCTCAGCTTCCAGAAACTGCACCATACATGAAAGCGCTATTTGTTTAATGTTTATTATGTGTTTACTTAATAAGATTTTATCATAACTACGGTCTCAATTTTTACCACGTTTTTTTCTCAAAGTTTGGAGTTATTTACAAAGATGATTAACTTTCGTACAATGCATGGTTTTATATCTTTTCAACAATTCACATTTAAAAATTAGTTTCGAACTGTTTCTTAGGTTTGAATGTGGGGAAGGTTTAGTATTTAATCCAGTAGGATATTGTGACTGGCCAGTAAATGTTAACTGTGGAGCAGAGGTTACATCAACAAGTAAACCGACAACAACAACATCAAGACCGACAACAACAACATCAAGACCAACAACAACAGCTGAATCTACAACAATTTCGAAAACTACAACAACGCTCAAACCTACAATAACAACAACCAAACCTACAACAACAACAACCAAACCTACAACAACCAAACCTACAACAACAACAACCAACCCTACAACAACAACACCCGGTGTTCAAACAAACAGTTGCAACATAATCACGGAGGAGCCAATCACAGATGAAATCCGGACCCAGAGAATGAAAACTTGTCTTGCTCCGAACTCTATTGTTGAATCCGTCCTGCCTGGTTCTCCCAGTAACCCTGAGAATGTTCGTATTCTTGAATCTATCTTCTCCCCAACACAATTTGAAACTACATTTCCAGAAGCAAACAGCGCATATACTTATGAAAACCTTCTTAAAGCATTCGCTAAGGAAAACTATCAAAACATTTTTTATATTTAATTTCTTCTAAAGAGCCGGAGGTACCCGGGTGTCCCACAAAGGATGAGTCTTCAGAGTTAACTAATAACTATTCGGCATTAAAACAGAGCAAAATTGATTTGATTTGAAATCTTCTATAAAAGCTGCATTGTATATTTATTTCTTTTCATGATGCCAAGATCATAATTTTATCTTGTAGTGGGCGATAAACCCCTTATTGTCTAGCAACGATATGAAGATTAAGGGTTAAAGGGACTATGACTCTAAAACCAAATATGGCAATGTCCGATTTACTGTAGTACCCTAAAAACCTTTATCTGATCAAGTATATATTAGATATTAATGTTTTCATTTCCTTTAACATGTTTATTTTCGTTTGCGGGTTTTAGGCGTCATCAAAATTAATACTGCAAATAACTGGGCACTTGAAGTAAATAAAAAGAAAAATATACAGTGTGAGTCAAAAAAGGGTGAATAGGAAAATTTTACGCGTATAATAAAGCATTTTTTGCTATCTCAGTTTTGACATAAATGAATAAAATTTTGAATTTTTATTGATAGGCAAACCCTTTAAAAAAATCCACGAAACTATTTTTTTACTCAAAATTAGAAAAGTAGAAAAACAAAAGTGCGGGAATATATTATTTCTATTACACCATAAAATCTTAAAAAGATCATATGAGAAGAAAATAGGCGAAATTAAATTAAGAAAATCCGCAATTTTATTTTTGAAAAAAAGATTTTAATTTTTTCCTAAATTCTTTTTATAATACTAGAAATTCAAGGCGCTTCGCGCCCTTCTTTCTAGGCGTTTAAGGCGCTTCGCGCCCATCTTCTATTTAAATTGTGAACATGTTCTTTTTGTTTACATTTCAAAACAAAGATGAAAAAAATTTTGCGGATTTTTAAAAAAATTCGCGGATTTTCAAAAATTTAAATTTTTTTACAATATCAAAAACCTTTAAAACACAAATTTTTAAAATTTCAATCATTCATAACCTTCCCTGGGATCCCTAGATGTCCCACAAAAAATTTGGGCCCGATCGGTTCAGCCGTTTTGACGTTTATTGGATACAAACAGACAGACACCCAAACAGACAAACAGACAAGCCAAATTTATATATAGATGATTTTTAAGATAAGTAAAAATGTCTAAATTAGAATATTAGGAAAAATTGGGCGGCCCTGTAAAAATTGTTTAGAGGTGCCCTTTTTCTTCGGAATAGATATATATATGAAACTAAGAAAAATCCAAAATATTTTCTTTTTTGACCATTATTTCGTGTGCTGCCAAACAAAACGTAATTTCTGAGCCATTTATTATTTCAGATTTGAAATTTTCGCTTTGGAAATCCCAATTGTACTGTTCCAAAAGACAAATAAATTCAATTTTCGATTTTTTTGATACGCACATACACCTTAAGACCAACACCTTAGCGACCTTAGCAACTGAAAAAAGCACCTCTAAACAATTTTTACAAAGCCGCATAAAAGAGTGTATCATTAAAATCTGTTGATTGCAGATTTTCTGAATTTAATTTCGCCCTTTTTCTCCACAACTACTCATCTCTTTCTACAGGGCCGGTCAAAAAATAAATTATAAGATTTGATACATTTTTCTCAAAAATGAGATAACCCAAAAAAATGCTTTATTATATGCAAGGTCTCATCCTGTTTGTTCGAATTAAACCTAATAATATACTTGTCAGTGAAGTTTTTATACCCTTAGTTTTGATGTTTTTATCGGTAAAGTTTCCTGAAGTTTGCAAGACTGCTGAGGTTTGCAGAAAAACGCTCGCAATGATGTTTGCACATTTCCAGCAGGAGACTGCCGGGCTCTTCTATATCAAGGAAATAAATCAGGTAAATAATTCTATTAAAAGATGACAAGGCACTTAGCTTTTAAAATTGTTCCTGCTGATCTATCTTCAAGCCCATCTTTGCTGTACAGTGTTCACTTAAAAATAATAACAACGAAAAATCGGCCCAGAAAGTGTCTTAACCTAATCTAACCCTAAATAAATACTAATTTAATTAATTTTCTGGATCTACAAAATTCAATCCCCCTCTCTCTGTTTTGGAATTTCACGGAGCATTGCGCGCAACATAGAATGACAACTACCTATTTTTTGAAGCCAATTATTCTTACTCTGACCGGTCACAAATCTTCCCTAGGGTCACGTAAGTTCCATCAATACAAATGAATAAAGTTCTTGCAAGTTCTGTATCCTTGCAACTTAAAGTTGCGCACCTTTAATATTTCAAACTGCCGAATCAAAAAGTCAGAATATCAAAAGTTTACACAATCAGGTTGCAAAGATATAGGGATTAGAAAAATAGAGTTTGTGGCAAAATCTCAGTTTCTCAGTTCAGCTGTTTCTTTTTATGTTTTTTGCATGTATACAAACAATTACAAGCTAAATATTTACAAAGATGTATAGAAAACAATAATAATATAAACTTTTTTATTGTAATTGTGTGTTAATGATTAAAAGAGTCTTGTTAAGTGCGGAAAAACAATTTAAAGAATTCTTTAACTCAATTAGAAAGTTTTTGAAAACATTGTTTGCTACTAAGTACTAATATTATAATAAACTGCTGTATATAGGGTTTGTATTGCGCTGATTGGAGTGATTGGGTTCAAGCAGCATATCCTTGCTCACAGGGACAAAAATATTTCGGCAGGTCAGTATTTAGTTTCATATTTGGGCAGGTCAAAATCCAGAGTTTAATAATATTTTGGTAGGTCAAACCATAGTTTTATAATATTTGGGCAGGTCAAACCATAGTTTTATGATATTTGGACAGGTCAGACCATAGTTTTATAATATTTGGGCAGGTCAGAACATAGCTTTATAATATTTGGGCAGTTCAAACCATAGTTTTATGATATTTTGGCAGGTCAAACCATAGTTTTATAATATTTTGGCAGGTCAGATTATAGTTTTATAATATTTGGGCAGGTCAAACCATAATTTTATAATATTTGGGCAGGTCAAACCATAGTTTTATAATATTTGGACAGGTCAGACCATAGTTTTATAATATTTGGGCAGGTCAGAACATAGTTTTATAATATTTCGGCAGGCAGAACATAGTTTTATGATATTTTGGCAGGTCAAACCATAGTTTTATAATATTTCTGCAGGTCAGAATTTAGTTTTATATTTGGGCAGGTCAAACCATAGTTTTATAATATTTCGGCAGGTCAGAATTTAGTTTTATATTTGGGCAGGTCAAACCATAGTTTTATAATATTTCGGAAGGTCAGAATTTAGTTTCATATTTCGGTAGGTCAGACCATAGTTTTATAATATTTCGGCAGGTCAAACCATAGTTTTATAATAATTGGGCAGGTCAGACCATAGTTTTATAATATTTGGGCAGGTCAGACCATAGTTTTATAATAATTGGGCAGGTCACAACATAGCTTTATAATATTTCGGAAGGTCAGACCATAGTTTTCGGCAGGTCAAACCATAGTTTTATAATATTTGGGCAGGTCAGAACATAGCTTTATAATATTTCGGCAGGTCAGACCATAGCTTTATAATATTTCGGAAGGTCAGACCATAGTTTTCGGCAGGTCAAACCATAGTTTTATAATATTTGGGCAGGTCAGAACATAGCTTTATAATATTTCGGCAGGTCAGACCTTAGTTTTATAATATTTGGCAGATCAGTTTTATAATATTTTGGCAGTTCAGGTTTTGTGTCATATTAAACATGTCATTCTAAAACTTGATATTTTTGGCAATCAGGCTAAAACAATTTGACGACATTTAAAAACGATATTTTAATTTTTTTTAAATTTTATATATTTTCGAAGAATGTCGTTTCAGCAGGTTTTATTTACTGAGATTGTGGTTTCCGTATTTCGATTTCCGAAGAATGTCGCTTCCGTAGTTTGGTTTCCGGAGAAAGTCGTTTCCGTAGTTTTATTTCCGGAGAATGCTGTTTCCGTAGTTTGATTTCTGGAGAATGCTGTTTCTGTAGTTTGATTTCCGGAACTCTCTTTTTTATGGCATTCTCTAAACAATGATTCCTTCAAAATAACATAAACATAATCCTTTTAAATTCAAAATATATTATTTTTTAATTAGAGGTGCGAAGCAGTTGACCTGGAATTATAACTATGGAGCTCTTTCATCTGCTTTATATGGAGATCCGCAGGCAGGTTTTAATTTTCTTTGCCCTCCATGCAAAAGATGTCAAAGCCGATTTATGTACAACGGTACGACGGTACAACGGTATAACGGTACAACAGTACAACGGTACAACGGTACAACGGTACAACGGTACAACGGTACAACGATACAACAGTACAACGATACAACAGTACAACGGTACAACGGTACAACGGTACAACGGTACAACGATACAACGGTACAACGGTACATCGGTACAACGGTACCCTTAAAAGTTTCGTCTAATTAAGTATTAATTATGTATCCAATTTTTTGTTTATTAAAACTGTTTATTTTCCTTTGTGCGAATTGTTCTTTCCGAAAGTTACTTGTGCATTTCTTGCTTTAAGAAGCAATGGGAAAATTGTTATAATTAATCACTTTTTGTGTCAGAAAAGGATGGTATCTTCCATATTTTTGATCAGATTAATGTTTCAAGGACACCCTTGTAAATAGGGCATTGCCATGTTTACATGGAGATTGGAGGATTACTAGAAAAATTACGCTTACAGTTGATCTCTCTATAAAGCATAAACAAGACGGCTCTGCAATTAATGGAATCATTTTTAACGTTTTGCCTTCAAAATATAATGAAAATCATAGATATGAAGAATCAATTATAAAATTTAAACCGACTTCCATTTTAATTTGATCTTATTCTTCATATTTGCCAAAAACAATCGACAAATGAAATTAAAGTTAAAGGAATTGAGTCTTTACCACAAACTCATATTCTTAAACCCCTATTTATTTTCAATCCAATGCCGTAGACCTTATATATTTCAAACTATAAATTATTTTAGATCAAATCATCTAAGTTTGAAATCTCATTAAATGAAGATATAGGGTATAGAAAATATGAGTCCATTTCTAGATGCATGTAAAACTTTCTTGCTATTTGTGCATTGCAAATAAACTATTTGGTTTGATACTCATAATTCCCCATCACCTGATCTCGAAATACACTACGGACACTTTTAATTTAAGAATCAATCCTTCATTTAAGTTTTACCTTTAGGGATTAATAACATCGAGGGATATCAAAAAAAATATTTAATAATTCTGCAGATTAACAAAAGATTGAGATGAAGCATTGATCTCGATATTCAAAAAACAAGAGTTCCCTGCCCTGATAATGTAAACCTTAGATATTTTGAACTTTGGATTTCTTTTTTACAGAATTTATTCTATTGACATCAGATTAAAAATACAAAGATAAAGAAATAAGAGTTCTGGGCGTACAATTATTTAATTAGTTTATTATGTATGCAAGTTTTGAAATTTCTACATTCTACATACTAAATTGTTTCATTTTGTCCTCCATCGAAATCCGCAAATAATTTTGACATCTTTTTCATTCTTGATCAGACTGAACTTTCTAGTATGGATTCCATCTCCATAAAACAAGTGACCTTGAATTATACGTCTACAGTCAATCATTTATAATTATTTAATTTGAACAGATTCTGTTGGATAACCCTGACCTAGTCTCTGATACCTGGTTAAACTTTGCCTCTGCTATCTGGTTCTACCTGAACCCTCAGCCTCCTAAACCCAGTATGCTCGCCATCACAGACCAAACCTGGAAACCTAATAACCATGATCTAAACCAGAACAGAAAGCCTGGTAATATTTCATTTTCTGAGAGCTTTTAAAAGTTCAACTTTCAGTCGAAAAAATCTTTTTCTTGTTTAAAAAAAACAAACAATTTTCTCTCCCAATTATAAAAACAGTTTCTGTGCCGTGAAACATAATTTACTTTACATTAAACAATACATAATAATCAGGGTTTTTAGACCAGACCAAAACCTTGTAAAATTTAATATAATGTCCCAATTATTTTTTTTGTCCAAAAATCGAAAAGATATTTTTAATTCAATTTGCTGTTTACAAGCTACTGGGTTCCACTTATCGCACAAAAATAAAAGACTTCTTTACAGTTCTATTTGTCCTTCTTGATCAAATGTATTTTAATTTAAATTTACGTCTCAAGACCAAATATATCAATTTATATTATTGTATTATTAAGTGCGAAAAAAAATTTGCCGGGATTTTTATTTTTCTAGTTTGTTTGACATCAAATTGAATTTGTTTTTACACCGAACGAGGTGTGAACATACAAAGGAAAATATTAGGTGCTAAATTTGAAATTTGAATAGCAGGGTGATTAAGTTACTTTTTTTGCCCTGTTGCTAAAACAAGAAATATTAGTCATAAATTCACTCAAAATAAAAAAGAATATTCAAAATTCCACTTTTCCTTTTTGTTGCTGTTGATAGTGTTTTCCATCAAAAAATGAATTTTATAAAAAGTTTACGCTTTTTTCTGAACTCGTTCATAATTTCATTTTTCTGAACTGCTTCATAATTTAGTTTACTTAAAAGTGTAAATTTTAGCTCAAAAATATCATTTGCAACCCTCTTCCAAACTTTTTCTCAGCCCAAGTATTTTACACAGGGGTTAAACTAGTATTGTATCCACCGATTATATCTAATATTGTATCAGGGGTTTAATCTATAGTATTCTATCTAGTGTTTACATCTAGTATTGTATCCAGGGGTTTAATCTAGTATTTTATCCAGTGTTTACATCTAGTATTGTATCCAGGGGTTTAATCTAGTATTGTATCCAGTGTTTACATCTAGTATTGTTTTCAGGGTTTACATCTAGTATTGTATCCAGGGTTTAAATCTAGTATTGTATCTAGTGTTTACATCTAGTATTGTATCCATGGGTTTAATCTAGTATTGTATCCAATGTTTACATCTAGTATTGTATCCAGGGGTTAAATCTAGTATTGTATCCAGACTTTAAATCTAGTATTGTATCCAGAGTTTAAATCTATTATTGTATCCAGAGATTAAATCTATTATTGTATCCAGGATTTAAAACTAGTATTGTATTCAAGGTTTAAATCTACTGTATTGTATCCAGATTCCAGAGTTTAAATCTAGTATATTGTATCTAGGGTTAATTTCTAATATATTGTACCCAGGGTTTAAATCTAGTATTGTATCCAGGGGTTAAATCTAGTATTATATCCAGGGTTTACATCTAGTATTGTATCCAGGGTTTACATCTAGTATTGTATCCAGGGTTTACATCTAGTATTGTATCCAGGGTTTACATCTAGTATTGTATGGGTTTACATCTAGTATTGTATCTAGTGTTTACATCTAGTATTGTATCCAGGGTTTACATCTAGTATTGTATCCAGGGTTTACATCTAGTATTGTATCCAGGGTTTACATCTAGTATTGTATGGGTTTACATCTAGTATTGTATCTAGTGTTTACATCTAGTATTGTATCCAGGGTTTACATCTAGTATTGTATCCAGTGGAAAATCTAGTTTTGTATCCAGGGTTTAAATCTAATATTGTATCCAGGGTTAAAGTCTAGTTTTGTATCCAGGGTTTACATCTAGTATCCAGGGGTTAAATCTAGTATTGTATCCAGGGTTTACATCTAGTATTTTATCAAGGGGTTAAATCTAATATTGTATCCAGGAGTTAAATCTAGTTTTGTATCCAGGGTTTAAATCTAATATTGTATCCAGGGTTTAAATCTTATATTGCATCCAGGGTTTAAATATAGTTTTATATCCAGGGTTTAAATCTAATATTGTATCCAGGGTTTAAATCTAATATTGTATCCAGGGTTTAAATATAGTTTTGCATCCAGGTTTTGGTTCCAGTATCATGGTGATCAACGGAGCTTATGAGTGTGGAATGAATCCGATCAATCCTAATGGGAGCAGAAACCGTCAGCTCTACTACCGTAGGTTTGCTGCAGATTTCAGTGTTGATATAAGCAAGGAGAAACTGGACTGTCAAGACATGTTGCCCTTTGATGCTGAGGGGTCAGCTAACCCAGGACTGTACTGGGCACCTGAATCTAGATGCAACCTAGTAACATGGCAAACTGCGTACAGTGCTCTTGTCGAGGGAGATTATAAACGCTGCTTGAAAGCTGCCTCAGCAATACCTTGATTTTAAACCAAAGAATTCACAGATTTCAAAAAATGTAGATGAACCTGAGATTGAAAATTTTAAATGGAAGAATAAAATTAAGCTCATTCATCTTGTGGGAAAAGAATGGGTTAAACTTATTCTTAACGCTTTGGTTTAACTCTTTAAATTAAAAATTGATGATTTTGTGAAATAAAAAAAATATATTTATGAAGTACACATATGTGATTTATTGTAAGAATGCACTTTTTGATAAAGCTTTCATGAATAAAATATTATCCTTCATGTTATTATATTTTTACGAAGGAAGGATTGACAAAGCTCTAGACAAATATGAAAAGTGTGCATTTACTTGAAAGACCGTATCTACTTTGATGTGTCGTAAACACCTTGCTTGTAGGTTTTACCCTTATAAACCATTCCTACTTTTATGTGTTTATAATATTTAAATTTAACATGAATGTGTCTGGCTATAGTTTAAGTTTAAAAGGAATTATTGGAAAAATTCTGATAGATATTTGGTAAGAACGTGTAAATTTAATGTTCACTTTGGTCCTATTTTGAGGTGAATCAGGGCTTAATGAAGTAACTTAAGCAAGATTTTTCATTTAAGATCCATCCAATAGAACGTAATATGATCTTCATGTTTACCATCTTGGCTATTATATATATATATATATATGTATATAATCTAATAACTGCAGTAAATAATCGAGATAAATAAAAGTATAGAATTGAAAATACAAAGGATATACACAATGGGTAAAAATAGGTTTAATTGTTTAACCTAGACATATTAATCACCTTGATGTGAAAAACAGTTTTGAACTTGCGATACAAACCATTATCTGATCTTATTATAAACCGCTAAAAAATGTCGGCTTTTCTTTAATTCGTTTTTCTTATCTAGGGTTTTTAACATCCTTAAAGAGACCCATGGTCAATTCACAACGGTACCATTTAGCCCTGTGAAATTATCCCTCTTTTCCTATCTTAAAATTGATTATCTAAATCACGGTTTCTCTGCAAAGTTACTTGATGATTTATGGTGTAGGAGAGAAATAATGATACGTTGTTCTAACTCAACAGATAAACATACCACGATTTATTCCTCCTCTATGTCCAAATAAAGGTTTAAGAGGTACTGTTGTGAATCCGACAATCTTTTTTTTTTTAATGGAGGTCGTTTGAAATTGTGCCTACGCTACAGGGTTTTAAAAGAAAAATATCCACAAAATGGTTTTTTTTTGTGAGATATCTTTATGAAATTATAAAGAAGATGGATATAATTTATAAATAAGAGATGCAAGATTGAAGATATATAATTATGTTTACTTTGAAGTAAAAATATAAAGTATCAAAGGTTGAGGGTGGAGCCCCATACTCATGTAATTTCCTAATTATACTGCACAAAGTAAACATTCAGGACCAACACAGGATACTGCTCCAGTTCAATACCAGAGGGTAACCAGAGAGGAGCTAGAGATACACCTAAGAGGAACCAGAGAGGAACCAGAGAGGAACCAGTGAGAAACCAGAGAGAAACCAGAGAGGAACCAGAGAGGAACCAGAGAGAAACCAGAGAGCAACCAGCGAGGAACCAGAGAGGAACCAGAGAGGAACCGAGAGAAAGAAACCAGAGACCAACTAGAGAGGAATATCAGAGGGACCAGAGTAGAACCTCAGAGGGACCTGAGATGAACCAGAGAGGAACCAAGAAGAACCAGGCATAGAAAAGAACCAGAGAAGAAGGAAAAAATATCTAGAGATGAACAAGAAAATAACCAGAGAAGAAGAAGAAAATAACAAGAGTGAAGAAGAAAATAACAAGAGAAGAAGAAGAAAATAACCAGAGAAGAAGAAGAAAATAACCAGAGAAGAAGAAGAAAATAGCCAGAGAAGAAGAAGAAAATAACCAGAGAAGAAGAAGAAAATAACCAGAGAAGAAGAAGAAAATAGCCAGAGAAGAAGAAGAAAATAACCAGAGAAGAATCAGCTAAAGAATATTTGTTTCAGAAGAATGCTTGAATGTTTCTCCGACAGTAATTCCACACAAACTCAGAAGCTTGATGAAGTTATCATTGGTAGGTTAATAAATGTAAAGTTTAACTTTAACTGTACATTTTCAGCTGTACCGTGTACATTATAGTACATTCAGCACACTGAGACAAAAATAAAACCAGGGTATGGTTATGAAGCCCAGTCTCGGAACCCCGGTTTTTTTTGATGGGGTGCGGCCATTATATAGATACCAATGTTTTTGTTAAGGAATGTTATGACTATATTCTCTTTCATATTCTCTTCAAGAATTTGTATTTCTTAAATTAAAATCTTCACAAAAATCCCACTATTGAAACTCGGGAGTTTTGTTCAATATACTCTGGGCACTAGAAATATTTTACTAAGAAAAAGAGAGTTTTAATGAATAAAATCAACTTTAATAGTTTCTTTTCTGGGGTTTCTGAAATTCATTACTACTCATATACTAAACTCTGATATCTTTGATATCTTTGTTATCTTTGAAACCTTAGATTTAGATGAAAAAGGTAAAGTTTAAAATTAGGATTTGATCTATAAAAAATACTAAAAATAAATATAAAAGAAGCTAGAATTTGATGGCATCCTTTCAAATTTTTAACTCATTTTAAAGGATATTTTCAGAGCTGGATTTTCTAGACAGTGAAGTTTTATCAAACAACGACAGGTGAGCTTCCACTTAAATACAGTCGTCGTATATCAATACAATGTAAACGACTTTTGATATCAATTTTGATTGCAACCAATCTTTCAAACAGTACATGGCACACATAAACATAGAAAAAAAGAAAATCTTTGTTTACTTGTAAACTTTTAATTTGAAAAAAGAAATCCAAATTTAATTGTAAAGGTCGTCTTCATTGTAGTGATAAAATACCCGGTCGCTCTAGGATAAATATGTGGAAATAACACCAAATAACAAAAGTATGATCTGTATAATCTTTATTTCTATCCCATGATTCTTTTAGGGAAAGAATTGAACACCCATGTACATCTTTTGATATTTCTAGCTTGATATTTGGATCTATAGAAGAGTTATTTGTCAAAATACCAAAGTTCTATAAAGACAGTATATGCAAATATAAAGGGATAAGATCTATAGTTCTTTTAATTCGGAAAAGAATAAAAATTACTAATGCAATACTAATAACAATGGTAATGGTAAAAATACTTATAAGGATAATAATAGCAATAATCATAAATATTAATATTAATAATCAATACAGATAATAAATATTATTATGATAATGCTAATAATAATACTGTACAGATAATGATATTAATAATATTTAAGATGGTTAGAACAACCAATATTGGGTAGCCTGCGTTACTGGCATCTAACAGGTGAAGATTCACGCTTAGAAAAAATATTTTCATGGTTTTGAGAAGGGAAAGTAAACGTAATTTCCTGTCAGACTTCATTGAGAGAGTGCCATGTCCGATTCACACCGATTCAGCTCAGACCGTTGTGGATCAGGCATACCAATTTTTCTTTTTTATGGAGGGATGGCCACTTTATAAATTACGAGGACAGACCCTTAAAATGAAAATGTATTGTTTCTTGTCTTTTACTTACTTTGGAATACTTGTAGATTTGTCATCAGGGTTCCAGATAGAAGTAAAGAGATGACGTCTTTTTGTATCCAGCATTTTACTCATAGGTTTCTCATTCCTCCTGATGCAGTTAAACCCTAAATGAGCCATACATTGAAGGAATTTATCAATTGTCGTCTTAACAATTTTTCAATGGGTTTCATACTATTTTAGGTAAATCTCAGTATTTGCGAAAATGAATAAATAGCCATGAATATGCGGAAACAGTTTTAAAGAGCTCCATATAATCAATTAATTGAAAAACTAAATATCTGCACCATTCCATTATCAGAAAGTAAAGAATACGACATTTGATGAATTCTTTCGATGTATGGCTTATTAAGGGTTTAACTGTATTTTATCATATAAAGACTTGACAGTTTTTATATTTCCAGCTCCTTTGATATTTTCTGGTTGTTCCATTTCTCAGCTACTAACTAAGAAATATTTTAGTGAGAAAATGTTGTTTTCTGTAGGTATTGTTGGTATACTGGTTTCTATTATCTTTTTCACACTTTGCTCGGTTTTTAAGGTAAATAATCTATATAAGAGGGGGAGAAGGGGCGTAAAATTAATTTTTTAAGCGTATCCCTTGCATATACTTTGCTCGTCTGTTTGTTTGTATCCAATAAACGTCAAAACGGCTGAACCGATCGGGCCCAAATTACCACATGGAAGGTTAATAGATGCTCAGAATTTAAAAAAAGTTGTTTCCAAAATTTTTTGATTTTTGCTAAATGAAGTTGATCAGATCTTGTTAGATTTACTTTACTCCATCTACTATTTTTCAGGTTCGAATTCCTCGAACCAAATCTGAGATTGATGCCAACTACAAGCGGAGAATGTTGATGCGAGATTTTAATGCCAGGTCGTCTTCATTAACCATATATTTACACAGATTACATTCGTTCCTTTAGGTCGGTCACAATGGTTTATTCTGACCCTTAATTATACTTAATTTTACTCTTTTTCGGATGAACAGATCGGAATTAAATTTATCAAATTCAGAAATGAAAACAGAAAACTCTGTGAAATCCCGATCTTTAATAATGACAAAGTTGCAAGAAGATTCTTATAAATATAATTTGTTCCACTTATATTTTAGAATCAGTTTAATAAAAGGTTACCCACAACAGATGAGAGCATAATTACGACCTAAAACTGTTAGTAACTAACAGACTGAAAGTTTAATTTGAAGATTTATGAAATTTATACTTAATAAAGTTTATAAAAATATGTTTAATGACTGAATAAATTTTGTAAAGTCATCTCTGAAGCCTGATCGTCTATAGGTTACCCTGTATTATTGATCCTCTATAGTTAACCCTGTATTATTGATCCTCCAGGTAACCCTGTATTATTGATCGTCTATAGGTAACCCTGTATTATTAATCCTCTATAGTTAACCCTGTATTATTGATCCTCTAGGTAACCCTGTATTATTGATCCAGTATAGGTAACCCTGTATTATTGATCCTATTGACTAGAAACATAATCTTAATTTTTCGCAATTTGAATCTAAAATATATTTCAGAATGAAGACACTCGAGCATAGCGAGCTTGATGATTTAGGAATGGGATTTGGAATACTTTAAAAGATTGAATCATTAAAAATATTAAACTAAAATACAAATCAATATCAGAAGGATAAAATGGCTACTACAAACGTGCGGAAAAACTCAAAAACAGAATGAAATAAAAGTAAAAGCCAGAGAATAACAAAATTACGTTGGAATTAAACAGATAATTACAAAATCTAAATTTTCACATCCCCCGATCGTTGCTTTCTTAGATTACAGGTGAGGTAAAGGGTTTGTATCGAATTTTTATAAAATGAATTACAAATTAAAATAATGTTCTGAAATTAAATCTTTTTTTTCGCGCTTAATTTAACATATTTAGGCGCGCACTGGAGAAACTTAGACAGGATTTAAAAGCAGATTCAGAAAGCATTGCTCAATCAGAGGTAGTTGATTGATTTGATTGATTTGATTGATTTGATTGATTTGATTGATTTGATTGATTTGATTGATTTGATTGATTTGATTGATTTGATTGATTTGATTGATTTCAGCAGTCCCAGATCATCGATCAACCTGAACTTGTAGTTTCTACTAAACAAAAATGAACATGAACGAATAACCATGCAATAAATATGTAATAATCCTCTATTTGGAACTGTAATAAATAGTTTTTCTCATTTCTCATTGTTGCACATTATATTTAATAATTTAAGACCAAAAATAAATCTGAATACAATTTTTTTTTCATGCAAATTGCACATGTTAGTTCTTATCTCATACTTTCCCTTTACAATTTATTCTTTTTTAGCTCCCCTAGAGCTGTTCTGTTCTCCTGGTGGTTCAGGATCTCTGTAGAAAGTTGAAATTAGAAACTTTGCTTTCACCTCGCGTAGACTGTAGAGGAACACTTGTACATCGGAGAAAGCGAACTTATCAAGAGGAAAAAAAATTTTGCTTTCTAATTAATGGTATTTTTGTTCGTAACACTGTTTTTATTGTTATCTTCTTTCAAGAAAAAAAATATGTTTCTTCATTGAATTATATATATGTATTCTTTTTTAACTTCAGTTGTGTATTCTTAAGATCTTCCAATCCACGGGGCACGTACAGGAAATTATCTTCTTCTACTCATCCAACCTATCTTCTCCTACTTATCCAACCTATCTTCTCCCCCTCATCCATCCTATCTTCTCCCCCTCATCGATCCTATCCTCTCCCCCTCATCCAACCTATCTTTACTCCCTCATCCATCCCATCTTCTCCATCTCATCCAACCTATCTTCCTTCATCCAACCTATCTTCACTCCCTCATCCAACCTATCTTCTCCATCTCATCCAACCTATCTTCTCTATCTCATCCATCCTATTTTCTCCATCTCATCCAATCTATCTTCTCCATCTCATCCAACCTATCTTCTCCTACTCATCTAACCTATCTTTTCCATCTCATCCAACCAATCTCCTCCCCTTCATCCAACCTATCTTCACTCCCTCATCCAACCTATCTTCTCTACCTTATTCACCCTATCTTCTCCATCTCATCCAACCTATCTTCTCCATTTCATCCAACCTATCTTCTCCATCTCATCTATCCTATCTTCTCCATCTCATCCAACCTTCTCCATCTCATCCATCCTATCTGCTCCATCTCATCCAACCTATCTTCTCCATCTCATCCAACCTATCTTCTCCATTTCATCCAACCTATCTTCTCCATCTCATCTATCCTATCTTCTCCATCTCATCCAACCTATCTTCTCCATCTCATCCATCCTATCTGCTCCATCTCATCCAACCTATCTTCTCCATCTCATCCAACCTATCTTCTCGCCCTCATCCAACCTATCTTCTTCATCTCATCCAAACCATCTTCTCTCTCGCATCCAACCTATCTTCTCCCCTTATACAACAAATCTTCTCCCACTCATCCAACCTATCTTCTCCTATTCATCCAACCTATCTTCTCCCCCTCATCCAACCTATCTTCTCCATCTCATCCAACCTATCTTCTCCATCTCATCCATCCTATCTTATCCTCCTCATCCAACCTATCTTCTACTTCTCATCCAACCTATTTTCTCCATCTTATCCAACCTATCTTCTCCCCCTCATCCAACCTATCTTCTACTTCTCATCTAACCTATCTTCTCCCCCTTATCCAACCTATCTTCTCCCCCTTATCCAACCTATCCTCTCCCCCTCATCCAACCTATCTTTTCCATCTCATCCAACCGATCTTCTCACCTCATCCAACCTATCTTCTCTTTCTCTGTGCAATTTACTTTAGTTTAAGGTGAGAAGATGGAATTTTCTGAAGCATAATTGTATTGCATACAAGATTGTGAGACCATTGGCATTGATTTGACTCTGCACATAGTCTGATCAAATCCAATTAAACAAGGTGCCAACTTTATATTCTGGATCATCTATATATAAATTTAGCTTGTCTGTTTGTCTGTTTGTATCTAATAAACGTCAAAACGGCTGAACCAATCAGGCCCAAATTTTGTGTGGGACCTCACGTGGCCCCAGGGAAGGTTTATGAATGATCAAAATTTCAAATATTTGTCTCCATCAAAATTCGATTTTTATTAAATTTTGAAAATTTTGAAAATCCCCGAATTTTTTTGTTAAAATTCGCGAACTTTTTTTTTGTTTTGTATTACGATGTACACAAAGAGAACATGTTCACAATTGAAATAGAAGATGGGCGCGAAGCGCCCTAAGAGCCTAGTGTTTTAATATTATCAACTTGATACGTTGATAAATCGATATATCAAACACATAGTTACTTAAGTTTTATGTCTAAGAATTGAGTCTTCGCCACAAACTCTGATTTTAAAATCACCTGAAACCTTTTGATGTAAACCTTTGATATTTCAAGCTTATTTTATTTGATCTAACATAAGTCATAGTTTTAAATATCTAAATGTTTAGTTGCCAAAATATATATATATAAGGATGATTTAATCAGAGTTTGTAGTAATTAGTTTCTTTGTACCCCAGTTAAATATATGATGGTTACTGACTGTTCTAAAATGTTCTTTGTGTTTAATGTAAAACTATTTCTGTGTTGTTGTCTTATAATCTTTCAATAAGAAGAAGAGAAGGACAAGATGCACATTTCTTATTGTTGTTGATAAAAATAGATAAGAAAATGTCTTCTCAAACATAGTTTTGGAGAGGGTTTGGGGGCTAAACTTATTGCCACCCCCCCCCCTCTACCTCTCTCTCTCTGCTGATTCTGATTGTGAGTTACCTTTTTGTTGATCCGCACAATATATATTTAAATCAGAGGTCGCATTATCTCAACCTTAAGTTCAAGTCTCAAACAAAGGTCTCATTATATCTCAACCTAAAGTTCTATTATATTCATTATTCATTATATCCCAACCTAAAGATCCAACCTCAAACAAAGGTCGCATTATCTCAAACTAAAGATCCAACCTCAAACAAAGGTCGCATTATCTCAAACTAAAGATCCAACCTCAAACAAAGGTCGTATTATCTCAAACTAATTATCTCAAACTAAAGATCCAACCTCAAACAAAGGTCGTATTATCACAACCTAAAGCTCTAGTCTCAAACAGAGGTCGCATATTTTCTGAACCTAAAGCTCTAGTCTCAAACAGAGTTCGCAACTTAAGAAAATTTTTAATAAGTTGTTCATTGTTCATTATTCAAAATTTGTGAAAACTTTAAGTTTCAAACACGCATAGATTATTCAAATCGATTTCACTGCCCTGATTGAGTGTAGAAAGACAGATAAGAGATATAAAAGTATATATTGACCCCCCCCCCCAGGCCCTACCCTAAGGCTGTATATGGTAAAGTTTAGATAAGAGAAGGTTTAAATGCGGGTTACGAACACCGAACTTACACTTTGTTTTACGGCAAATTTTTAATGTAATAAACTATATGGTGCGATTTAACTATTTAAAGATGGGATCCATTCTCTATTTATCTACACTTTCTTTAAAAACTCCAGGATAAATAATTCATTAAATGGCAATCAAAAGCTAACAAAAGTTGCTTACTAAATGTCTTACTAGTTCTTTCTTCTATCTATCTTTTTATCTATCTATTTATCTATTTCCTTACTATCTATCTATCAATCTAGCAATAATTCTATCTTTTTATATCTATTTATCTATCATAATATCTATCTATCTATCTATCTATCTTTTCAAGGTTTGAGATCATTGAAGAGCTGGAGAGAAAGTCAGCTTTCTCTTGAGGATGTTCAGTAGCTCCGGTACACACAACCATTCTTAGACAAGAAGATTATTCAGTTCCATCTACCTCTCCGTACAGTACTCATATACCTCTCAGTACAGTACTCATATACCACTCCGTACAGTACTCATATACCTCTCCTTACAGTACTCATATACCTCTCTCCATACATTACTCATATACCTCTCCGTACAGAACTCATCTATACCTCTCCCTACAGTACTCATATACCTTTCCGTACAGTACTCATATACCTCTCCGTACAGTGCTCATATACATCTCCGTACAGTACTCATATACCTCTCCGTACAGTACTCATATACCTCTCCGTACAGTACTCATATACCTCTCCTTACAGTACTCATATACCTCTCTCCATACATTACTCGTGATACCTCTCCGTACAGAACTCATCTATACCTCGCCCTACAGTACTCATTAACCTTTCCGTACAGTACTCATATACCTCTCCGTACAGTACTCATACTTCTACGTACAGTACTCATATACCTCTCCGTACGGTACTCATATACCTCTCCGTAAAGTAATCATATACCTTTCCGTACAGTACTCATGTTCCGCTATGTACAGTACTCATATACCTCTGCGTGCAGTACTCATATACCTCTCCGTACAGTACTCATTTACCTCTCCGTAAAGAACTCATATACCTCTCCTTACAGTACTCATATACCTCTCCGTACAGTACTCATATACCTCTTCTTCTATACTCTATATCCCAACCAATCCAATCCGAACCTAGAAATCCTTTTTGTGTTTACTCTTAAACAATTTCTCACAAATCAGCGAATCTTATACTTTCCATTAGTACAAACTTGGAAATCAACCCTTCTCCTCCACTGATTCAATTCTTCTAATCTACAATCTAATCTAGTGATCAAAGTTTTCAATTCACAGTTATCCACATAAAGACCTTCCACTTTCATATCTAATCAAAATCAAAATTTTGAAACTTGATTTTGATAAAACTTGATTTCCTTTCAATCTCTATTTAATTTTAGTTTTGCAAGGTCACCCTACAGTGAGACCTATAATATTTATGTGGCTCACCGGCAGAAGTTAGGGAAAGTTTTTTACTTTCCCCACCTACAGTCTATAAACTGTAGTTTTTTATCCCCCTGCAGTCTAATCTGTACTTTATTCCCAGTATAAATTATATATAAATTGTATATTATATTATGTATAAATTGTAGCTTATTTTGTCCCCATTGCGGTGTAAACTGGACGGTTCTAGAAACCGATGATTTTTGTCTGGAACTGTTTAATATCTTGGTATCGATTAATACATTAGACACATGGACTTGTCAAACGATCCGCCATTAGGCCGGGTTTATGCATACTATATGATATTTGATAATGTTTTGATTTATTAGACTATTTCTTGGCGTAGTGTACCTTGATCTCGTGGAATTTGAAATTATAATAATCAAATTAAAACTTGTCAAGTATTCAAGTATTAAATATATTAACGTATTCAAACACTGGTCCAAGGCCTTCATTTTGTAAAGAATTTGATTTTTAAAATAAAATTTGAGCGATTTTTATTTTCAGGGGAAAAAATCTTCTTAGATTAGTTTTCTCTTGTTTTGATGGAATAATGTAATGAGATGAAAAGCGGGGTTTTCGGGCATACAAGAATTTTGATTTGCGCTCAACAAGAAATATGCCAAGACCAAAGGAAAACCAGCACTAAAAAGTTAATCAGTTTAACCTCAACTACTTTAGAATAAAGGTTTTAATGTCTTTCTTTTTATCTGTTGGACAGAATACATACGATGTAAAGGATTAAATGAGTTTAAGGTTGGCAGGCCTTAATCTTAATTTATTGCAAGAACGTTCTAGAAGAACTTTTCCAGGCAGAACATTTACTCCAGGTTTCAAACAAAAACTTTTTTTGAAAACCAACAAAGCTACTTTCCTTATTTTGAACGGAGCTATTTTCCTTGAATTTAGAAGGAGCTATATTTTCCTTAAACTTGACGGAGCTATTTTCCTTGAATTTATACGAAGCTATCGTCCTTTGATTCAGACGGAGCTATTTTCCTTGAATTTAGAAGGAACTATTTTCCTTTAATTTAGATGGAGCTATTTTACTTGAATTTAGACGAAGCTACTTTCCTTGAATTCAGATGGAGCTATTTTCCATTAATTTAGATTGAGCTATTTTCCTTTAATTTAGACGAATCTATTTTCCTTGAATTTAGATGGAGCTTTTTCCTTTAATTTAGATGGAGCTATTTTCCTTGAATTTAGAAGGAACTATTTTCTTTGAATTCAGAAGGAGCTATTTTCCTTGAATTCAGACGGAGCTATTTTCCTTGAATTCTGACGGAATTACAGGGTGTCCTACGAAACATGACAGTTGCTGAATATTTTAAAATGTCTTCTTCCATAATTTTTCAAGTTGTTTGATACCAAATAAAATTATAAGGAACATTATATAGCAGTTTTATTATGGTAAAATCGATCTCAGATTAAGATATATTGGAGCAAAAGATTTTGCTACCGAACTAAACTGCAAAAAGTCTTTAAATCTAATCTAGTATTTGGAAGACGTCATTCTAGACTATTTATTAACTGTCATGTTTCGTGGGACACCCTGTATTTTCCTTGAATTCAGACGCAGCTATTTTCCTTGAATTAAGAAGAAGCTATTTCCCTTGAATTCAGACGGAGCTATTTTCCTTTAATTTAGACGAAACTATTTTCCTTTAATTTAGATGGAGCTTTTTTCCTTGAATTTAGACGGAACTATTTTCCTTGAATTCAGATGAAGCTATTTTCCTTAAATTCAGATGGAACTATTTTCCTTTAATTCAGATGGATTTATTTTCCTCGAACTTAGACGAAACTATTTTCCTTGAATTCACATGGAGCTATTTTCCTTAAATTCAGATGGAACTATTTTCCTTTAATTCAGATGGATTTATTTTCCTCGAACTTAGACGAAACTATTTTCCTTGAATTCAGATGGAGCTATTTTCCTTAAATTCAGATGGAACTATTTTCTTTTAATTCAGATGGAGCTTTTTTCCTTGAATTTAGACGGAACTATTTTCCTTGAATTCAGATGGAGCTATTTTCCTTGAATTCAGATGGAGCTATTTTCCTTTGATTTAGATGGAACTATTTTCATTGAATTCATATGGAGCTATTTTCCTTGAATTTAGACGAAGCTATTTTCCTTGAATTTAGACGAAGCTATTTTCCTTTGATTTAGATAGAGCTATTTTCCTTGAATTTAGAAAATATAAATAGGCTATGGAAATCTTTAAAAATTAAAATACCACCATTAAGAGCTAAATTTATTTGAATTCTTTAAGAGGGATAAAAGTATATGCGTGGGTTTAATATCTGATATCCTATAGATACAAGTTTTTATTGTTGGCGGATCTTACTCTTTGGTTTAGACAAGGTTGGTCAAAGTAGACAATACAAAATAGAAGATTTAAATCCACTAGATCTGGAAAATTTTCTTGGGTAAAAGTTGAGTTAAAAAGACCTCCAAAGTTTTCGTAATGAACAGTAAGTTTGCTATTAATATATTAGGCTGGTTGGTTGATTTGTCTGTTTGTTTGTTTGTATCCAATAAACGTACAAACGGTCGAACAAAAGTGGTCCCAAACTTTTTGTGGTATCTCATATGACCCCAGGGAAGGTTTGTGGATGATTGAAATTAAAAGTTTTTGCCTAGAAAAAATACCACGGAAAAACAGTATTAATAGAAAAATCCGCAACATTTAAATTTTTAAGAGAACTAAAAAAGCTAAATTAAAAGTCTGAAATTCTTACTAGCAAAAGGAGCACTAAGAGCCCTGAAGCCTAAAAATACAGACTTGGCAAGGTTGTCTGTTTTTAAAGGACAAACTAGAATATATGGACCTATGAAATTTATATTGTAAAACAACAATATGTTTTATGATTTTATGACTCGAATATAAAGTTAAAATAAAATAAAGGAAGAATAAACAACTTGAGACATGCATCAACATATCTATACATCGAAATATATAATTATATATATATGAAGGGTGTTAAAAAAAACACTTTACACTTTTTTCTTTCACAGGCTTAATTATAATCCAATCATAAAATTGATATCACAATGTCTACAGGATGTTAGGACTACATGGTTGAAAATTATCGGATTTGGTCAACACTGCTCTGAATATATGCTCTTTATCTCTTGGGGATAAAACTGATCAGCCTACCTGCAGAAAATAACATTACCAAAGCTGAAGAAGGTCCAGAACATGCTTTAAAATTACAAAAATATATTTAAAGGGGTTTAATATTTGCCCAAAGCTTTGTTAGTTAACCGATTACAAGTTCAGGGTCGAGCTAATATGACCAAACACCAATTTGGAGTACACTGTAAGCAACATGCATTTACAGGCAAATGCAAAGCCAGTTCCTTCCCTTCTCCTTTAACAAGGAGAACAGCTGCCGGGGACCAATAATATAAGCTGATGGAACCATATTTTATTGCAAAAAGGAATCTCATACTATACTAAAGCTTTTCCTTGTGTAAATCAACTCTAACTTGGTCTATAAGGGCTCAGCTTTCTGGCAGGATGAAACTTAAAAACAGCCACCACAACCAGCCTCTTATGCAGTTAGCAATGGATTACACCTACAATAACCATAATGTTCGGCCTATATTTGAGAATATTTGGGCCATGGCAAAAAATATGGTTGCCTGGAAGAAATGAGAAAATCTCTATCATCTAAAGCAGTGTGGCGAGAATAGGAAATCCCAGCCGGGTAGGCTGATCAAATCCTTTCCCAAGTGATAAAAAGCATCTTTTCAGAGCAGGGTTGACCAAATCAGATAATTTTTAACCATGTAGTCCTAACATGCTAGAAACACTGTGATATAAATTATGGTCGGATAATAATTATGTCTGTAAGAGAAAAGTGTAAATGTTTTTTTTAACACCCTTTATATTCCTTTTCAATCCCTCCTTTGTAAAACCACGGTTATTCTCTGTGTTTGTATAGAGTTAATGTATTGTTATGAAAACGATATCCTCTACATATAAATATATGATATATATAGATCATATGTTTCAATATTTATGATATATTATAAAGAATATGTATCATGCAGATAAAACCAATCGATTCATGTTTTCCCTTGCTCTGTAATTAGATATAAAACATTATATAGTAATATAATATATAAGTAATAATGGATACAGCTACTTTGAATCTAAAAAGACGAAACCATTTTTTAAAAACTAATATTTCAGAAAGATAAAATGAAAAATGGGGATGCAACATTATTCCTGAAGAGTAGTTTAAATATACAGTACAACTAATGTAGAATAGAACACTCAAACAGTACAATAAGCCTGTACTAAAAATGCCGGAAATCCAAACCTTGGTGTACTGTGTACTGTGCTCAAAATCTGTGTGAATATAAGATTTATGAATTCCCTGAACGCAGAGCCCATAAACTATTGAATGCAAGTGTGAAAACAGAATACTAACTGCTAAATACTGCAGAGGGAACCCTGTTTAGTGAATATACTGACTGTAAACCCTGTCTCGTGAATATATTCCTCCCCTGGAACGGAAATCATTAATGTTGTCTCTGTATGGTTCCTACTGCTAGAATCTAGCTCTGCAAGGGATCCCGGAGTAACGTTTATGAGAACACTTTACTTTTATGGATTTTTTTATTATTCTCATTTTACTATGTATGTATCCGTTACATATCAAGAATTTCATACTTATTTTAAATTTAAAAAAAATACTTTGAAATTAAAAATTAAAAATGTTTCTTCTTTTTAAATAATTAAGGAAAATACAATTCTCCGGGTGCTGATAGGATGAGTGATAAGGTTCGGGTTGCTCTCCGGGTCCGACCCTTAAACCGGAGGGAGTTGGAGCTAGGGACTAGCTCGATCATAGAGATAGATGAGAACAGAACCGTCCTGCATGCTCCATCAACCAAAGACACAAGGTGAGGATATTAAAATGTTATGTGAACTGATCTCCTTCTTTAAACTCTAGTTTTCTAAACCCTATAAAAACAACCTGATTAGAAGAGATCACCTACACTTGTTATGCCAAATATTAAGTATTAATCTCTGTTTGTCTGTTTGGTTATCTGATCATAACTCATATACCCCATAACCGATTTGCTTCACATCTTCATTGAAGAACTCAGGAGAACCACGGGAATGTTCTTAACTGGGTTTTAAAAAGGTGGGGTCGACAAGTTATAATATGATAATTCAAACTTCACCTACAACTCGTTAAACCAATCTTACTACAAAAACTGTTTCATGAGTCCAAATTTTTAAAGTAGATCTTCCCTTACATCTAGGTTTAGGGATTTGTCAATTTATTTTATGTAAACCTCCCATATAAAGAGTGTCATTAATGATTCCTAATATTGTAATTTAACCTTTTTAAAAAAAACGATATTTTTAATTGTTATTTTTGAGCGAATATTTAAATTTCTCCAGTATAGTTTGTAAGATGAGTGGTCAAATTCCCGCTCACAAATCTTGTCTTCGAAGTTTGTCGTTCATAAAACAATAGAGACAAGCAAGAAAATGTTTCTAAATCGTCACGTTAACTGTGAAAATCATGCTTGCATTTACGTTAAACTTCATTTTAGGTAATTATAGAAACATATTTTGAATCTACAGTTTAAAATAAGTAAATATGGTCAAAAAGCGGGACGCAGAGAAGGAGGGTCGGATGTTTATTCAGATTTAGGATTTATATTATTGGATGGAAGAGTTCCAATTTTAACAAAATATTCAGACATGAAAGATATGGAGATTTTAGATTCTAGGTTTATCAAGAAGAGAAGGGGAAAGAATTGGAGAGAGGGTTCTCCGGGGACACAGTTTTATTGGAGGGAGCTAGCTAGGGGCTAGAGGAACCTGGAGGGAGCTAGCTAGGGGCTAGAGGAACCTGGAGGGAGCTAACCAGGGAGTTTGATTATGGTCTAGGGGCTAGAGGAACATGGAGGGAGCTAACCAGGTAGTAGGATTAGGGTCTAGGGGCTAGAGGAACCTGGAGGGAGCTAACCAGGTAGTAGGATTAGGGTCTAGGGGCTAGAGGAACCTGGAGGGAGGTAACCAGGTAGTAGGATTAAGGTCTGGGGCTAAAAGAACCTGGAGGGAGCTTCTTTCCAATTCTTAAAAGTTAATTGATTTAGCTTTTAAAATCTAGAACACCTCCCCCCATCCTCCCCACTTTCTCAGCAAGAAAAGTAAGGTTTAGAATTTGTATTGTTAGAGAGCAAGTCTGGGCATATATAATAATAAATATATTTTCTAGTTAACGATATAGACATATTATTGGATTGTTTTTACAATTTATTTTTCCCATGATTTAACCTTTGCAAACACAATTCTTTTTCTTTGTTTCTTCTCTAAGCTCTCAATTTTCTTATTTTAAATATATAAATATATAGATGTATAAGGTTATAAACGAGAAAAAGTCATTTGATAAAGATTTACAAGTATAACTTTGCGACCTTGTAACGCCATAGCATTATTTTTACTTTCTAGAGATTAAATGATTAGCTTTTATTCCAGACATAATGTATGACGACATCTTTTAGCTAAAACTAAATAAATTCTGTTTTCCGATGAGATGTTTAAGAAAAACATACAATTGTATTAAATGTCTAGTATATAATATATATTGATAATTATATTAATTGTCTAGTATTATACTATATTGATAATTAAAGAATGGTCTTGTATTTATATAAAACATATTGATTGAATGTTTAGTATCAATTAATATAATTATTAATATATATTGTAAACAGTTATAAACAGTATACAATATATATTAATAATCCCAAAGTAAGCGTCTGCAATATGTAAACAGTACCCTGAGCAACATGCGATAGACACTGCAAACAAACCAGAAGAAGAAGGTCAATTTCAATTGACATTACTGTCACAGCTGTGTGACTCCGTTGCTCCTCTAGTTCTGATTTGACGCACAAGTGTAAGAAAAGCAAATTTATTCGGCTACATATTATAAATTCAAAACATTTTTGTTCTTCTAAATATCTCTTCAATAACAGAAGTTATGATCAAAAAGATATAATCAATCTTACTTGCATTTTACTTTAGTTTGACGTGTAGAGGGAAGGGTATACTATACAGTATAGTATATAGTATAGTATTATTTTTAACGTTTTCTTCTTCAGATTTTGCAAATGAATAAGTTCTTGTCTATATTAGGAATCGTTTCCAAGTAAGCAGAGAGAAGGATGAAAAAGAAATAAATCTTCAAGTTCTATTCAAGCAATAAATGTAAAATCTGTAGATGTTGGGAAAATGTAATCTTGGATTAATATGATTTTATTCAAATGTTCCGCATTGCTTCCAGTTTATTTTCTGTGTATTTAACTATCTTTAACGTTGACAACACTCAATTAAACTTTTGATAAATATTAAATTTTTAAAATAGAAATCACTTTAATTGAAAACGCAACTGTACATCTTGAATCGTTTCTGTACGGTACCTGTTCACTTTACCGTTGAACGATTTAAATACTTTCCTCAAATAAATATATTCATATTCCTAAACATTCTAGGCCGGGATTTAGTAAGAAGAAAAGGTGTTGATCATAAATCACTTAAATCCTCCCAGCTTACAATATCTTGGTTACACACAAACACAACAAAAGGAGAACCCGTAGCTGGGCTGGTTTTAGGAGATCCTCGAGTTGGTTTTAGAAAACCCGGAGCTTGTTTTAGAAGAACCCAGAACTGGATTTAGGAGAACCCGGAACTGGTTTTAGGAGAGCCCGGAGCTGGTTTAAAAGAACGAAGCTTGGTTTAGGAGAACCCGGGGTTGGGTTTAAGAGAGCCCGGAGCCGGTTTCAGGAGAATCAGAAGCTGGTTTTGAAACAAATTAAATAAAAGGATCTGGATCTGAGTTTAACAAATTACTGTATGGTTTCTAGGTTAGTAAAAACCTGGTGGAAAACGGAAACTAGTTTGCGGAATTAATTCTGCAGAGTTGACTTCTGGTCTCTGGGATTAAAACTTTCAAAGGAAGATCTAGGATTCAATCTATTACCAGGATCCAGGATCCAGGATCCAGGATCATGATCTATAGGATTGTAATCAAAGATGGTCCAGATACTAAGATAAACAAAAAAGGGCTTGGATTTCAATTTCATGACCCATGCATGTAATAAAATGATTAAAATGAAGAATCTAGGATACAGGATACAGGATTTGGGATGGCAGGATACAGGATACAGGATACAGGATACAGGATACAGGATACAGGATACATGATACAGGATACAGGATACAGGATACAGGATACAGGATACAGGATACAGGATATAGGACACAGGATATAGGATACAGGATATGGGATATGATCATGATTCATGATCCATAAAAATCTATGATTTATGATCCATGATCCAGGATCTATGATTCAGGATCCAGGATTTACGATGCACAATCCATGAAAGAAAAACTAAAAAAGAGATTTCCAAATGTGCCTTTTCTTTCGTAAAATATGAAATGCTATTGTTGCCTGAATGTGATGTTGGTTTCATAAAGGTTGCATGTTGACATAGTATGTGAATACTGTATAAACATCAACATCAAGACTTTATATAGCGTGTAATTCCTGGAACTTGGAGCAAACTTGGATCATTCTTTAAACTTTATATTCTCTTCATACTTACACATTTTCTATCTTTTCTATACTCTAAGCTATATATCTCCTCTATTATACTCTAAGCTATATATCTCCTCTATTATTCTCTAAACTATATATCTCCTCTATTATTCTCTAAACTGTGTATCTCTACTATACTATATACTACATATCTCTTCTATATTCTAAACTATTTATCTCTTCTTTACTCAAAACTACAAATCTCCTCTTTACTCTAAACTATTTATATCCTCTATACTACCGAATTCATATCTCTTTTATACTCTAAACTATATCTCTTCTATACTCTAAACTATATATCTTCTATATTATAAACTACATATCTCTTCTGTACTCCTAACGATATATCTTCTATATTATAAACTACATAAGTCTTCTATACTCTTAACGATATATCTTCTATATTATAAACTATATACTCTATATACTATATACTACTAGACTCTTAACTTTATATCTCCTCTATAATCTAAACTATATATCTCCTTTATACTTTTAACTATATATCTCCAATGTACTCTAAACTATATATCTTCACTATACTTTTAACAATATATCTCCAATATACTCTAAACTATTTATCTCCTCTATACTCTTAACTATATATCTCCTCTCTACTCTAAACTATATATCTCCCCTATACTCTAAACTATATATCTCCTCTATACTCTAAACTTTAAAAATATTTTTTTACTCTCAGACAAATAATATATCTCCTCTAAACAAACTACAAATTTTCTTCTATATTCTAAACCATGTTGTGCAAACAGATGTTGCAAAAATATTTTGGATTTTCTTTCGGCAGATCAAACACATGTTGTTTCTTTAGAAAAAGATTGAATTAAAAAGATAACTGATTCTTGATTAAAACTTGAAATTATAAAACCTTTTTCCTAATCGCTTCTAGGACCGCTAGAACAGTATTTATCTTATTAAAATGTTTCTAAAACGTCTAGAATTATACTTAAAAAATTTCCGAATCAGATTAAAATAAAATTTATTTTCACCAATGTATTTCTTTAACCAACCTTTTTAAAATCCTCCAATAATTCATGCCTCAAACCTTTTGTAATCAACTTTAAAAGACTTCTAAGTAAAAGGTCGTCCATTAATGCTCATCTTTAACGAACATTTCTGTGATATTTTGTTCTTTAATGGTGGATATTTTTGAAACAAAATCCCCACAAATACATTAATTTATGCGATATAATTTCTTTGCCTAAGATAAAATAGAAGACGACACATTCCCAAAATTTATTTACCGTTTATAATATTGGAAATTTATTTACCGTTTATAATATTGGAAATTTATTTACCGTTTATAAAATTGGAAATTTATTTACCGTTTATAATATTGAAAATTTATTTACCGTTTATAATATTGGAAATTTATTTACCGTTTATAATATTGGAAATTTATTTACCGTTTATAATATTGGAAATTTATTTACCGTTTATAATATTGGAAATTTATTTACCGTTTATAATATTGGAAATTTCCGGTCCCCTCTCTTCTTCATCGCTTACAATCCCATTCCATAGAACCTCAGAAAAAATATTTGACGAGATCTGAAAATTTTCACTAACAATATTATCGGCTATTTTTGATACAAAAGAGATGTGTAACTTTATCACAACTTCAGCTATAATTCACCAGACGATCCTCATATCCAACGAATGATTAAATACAATTTAGAATACAAATTAATATAATTAATTTTAGTTATAACTTTTAGCACACAACATTAACTATTGTGTTAAATATCTAATATTTTATTATCGATCGTTAGACTCTCAGACAATCAAAATAACCATGATGACGTCAAAATACAGCTGTACAGGCGTACACAATGTTGGATAAATTGCCAACACCTCGTCTTCCAACACCTCGTCTTTGGATTTTCCTAGATGGAAGTGTCAATGCTGAGCACGGGAATGATGATCTTGCTTCTGTTATTCTCCCTGGGGGGTTTAATACTGTAAAATATGAAACGTGAGACGAGATGATGTTCTTTTATTCTCAAACCTTTCTCTTAATTCCAGCTTTCAACAATTTTTTCAATTTTGTTCGTTTCTTTCATTAACCCTTTCTAACTCTTCATTCTTTCACGTTTACAATTTATTATTTAATTAAGCAGAATTTATAATTCGAAATATTAAATGTTTACGGAAAATATATAAGGATTAGAAAATTATTATTTGTGGCGAGAGATCATTTTTCAATATTCTAAATATGTTCGGGAACCAGCAAACCCTCTATATATGTTAAAGGAAGCATAAACCCTCGATATATGTTAAAGAAGCAGTCTAAACCCTCTATATATGTTAAAGGAAGCATAAACCCTCTATATATGTTAAAGAAGCAGTCTAAACCCTCTATATATGTTTAAGAAGCAGCCTAAACCTTCTATATATGTTAAGGAAGCAGTCTAAACCCTCTATATATGTTTAAGAAGCAGCCTTAACCCTCTATATATGTTAAGGAAGCAGTCTAAACCCTCTATATATGTTTAAGAAGCAGCCTTAACCCTCTATATATGATAAGGAAGCAGTCTAAACCCTCTATATATGTTTCAGAAGCAGCCTAAACCCTCTATATATGATAAGGAAGCAGCCTAAACCCTCTATATATGTTTAAGAAGCAGCCAAAACCCCTTGTATATGATAAGGAAGCAGCCTAAACCCTCTTTATGTGTTAAGGAAGCAGCCTAAACAATCTTTATATGTTTAGGAAGCAGCCTAAAATCTCTTTATATGTTTAAGAAGCAACTAAAACCCTATAAATATGTTCAGGAAGCAGCCTAAACCATCTATATATGTTTAGAAAGAAGCATAAACCCTCTATTCCTTTCATATGCTGCCTTAACCCTATAAATCTATATATCTCTTAAGTAAGCAGCTTAAACCATCTATATATGTTTAGAATGCAGCCAAAACCCTCTAAATATGCTTAGGAAGCAGCCTAAACCCTCTATATATGTTTGGGAGCAGCGCCAACCCTTTACATATGTTTAGGATGATGCCTAAACCCTCTATATATGTTTCTGAAGCATCCTGAACCCTCTGTATATTTTTAAGAAGCAGCATTAATCCTCAATATATGTTTAGGAAGTCGCCTAAATCCACTATTTTTGTTTAGAAGGCATCCTAAACCCTCTATATATGTTTAGGAAGCATCCTAAATCCCCTATATATGTTTAGGAAGCAACACAAATCCTCTATATATGTTTAGAACGCATCCGAAATCCTCTATATATGTTTAGGAAGCAGTTTACGAAGCATCCTGAACCCTCTATCTTTGTTTAGGAAACATCCTAAACCCTCTATATATGTCTAGGAAACATCTTAAATCCTCTATATATGTTTAGGAAGCATCCTAAACCCTCTTATATGTTTAGGAAGCATCCTGAACCCTCTATCTTTGTTTAGGAAGCATCCTAAACCCTCTTTATATGTCTAGGAAGCCGCCTAAAATCTCTTTATTTGTTTAGGAAGCAGCCTAAATCCTTCACCTATGATCACTGTTTCAACTCCTGTGACCCTGGGAGCTATGGCTGGGCCGGTCAGGAGGATATCTTCAACTGTCTGGGAAAGGATATTCTGGATAATGCGTTCAAGGTAAAATCGGTCTGTTAAAATTTTATAATTAACAAGACTGTTAAAATTTTATAATTAACAAGACTGTTAAAGTTTTTAATTAAAAAGACTGTTAAAAGTTTTTAATTAACAGACTGTTAAAAGTTTTTAATTAAAAAGACTGTTAAAAGTTTATAATTAACAAGACTGTGTAAAGTTTATAATTAACAAGACTGTTAAAAGTTTATAATTAACAAGACTGTTTAAAGTTTTTAATTATCAAGACTGTTAAAACTTCTAGGTTTTTTATTAGTCCTGTCACATCTCCTTATCTAGGTTGTATATTCGGCTTGTCAAACATCTTAACCTGGGTTTTATATTAGTTCTGTCTCCCCTCCTAACCTGGGTTTGATATTCGTCTTGTCTCACCTCCTAACCTGGGTTTTATATTAGTTCTGTCTCCCCTCCTAACCTGGGTTTTATATTTGTCCTGTCTCACCTCCTAACCTGGGTTTCATATTAGTCCTGTCAAACATCATAACCTGGGTTTTATATTAGTCCTGTCTCGCCTCCTAACCTGGGTTTTATATTCGTCCTGTCTTATCTCCTAACCTAGGTTTTATATTTGCCCTGTCTCACCTCATAACCTGGGTTTTATATTTGTCCTGTCTCACCTCCTAACCTAGGTTTTATATTAGTCCTGTCTTATCTCCTAACCTAGGTTTTATATTAGTCCTGTCTCACCTCCAAACCTAGGTTTTATATTAGTCCTGTCTCACCTCCTAACCTGGGTTTTATATTCGTCCTGTCTCACCTCCTAACCTGGGTTTCATATTAGTCCTGTCTCACCTCCTAACCTGGGTTTTATATTAGTCCTGTCTTATCTCCTAACCTGGGTTTTATATTCGTCCTGTATCACCTCCTAAGCTAGGTTTTATATTAGTCCTGTCTCACCTCCTAACCTAGGTTTTATATTAGTCCTGTCTCACCTCCTAACCTAGGTTTTATATTAGTCCTGTCTCACCTCCTAACCTGGGTTTTATATTAGCCCTGTCTTATCTCCTAACCTAGGTTTTATATTAGTCCTGTCTTATCTCCTAACCTAGGTTTTATATTAGTCCTGTCTCACCATGTCTAACCTAGGTCTTATATCCGTCCTGTCTCACCATGCCTAGCCTGGGTTTTTATACGGATATTCATCAAACTGTAAAAAGTAGAAGAGAGTAATAACATTAAAACTTTGAAGGACTTCCTAAAACTTTTGTCTGAAGTTGGAAAACTTTAATAAAAGTTCAAACATTTAGATAAACATGAGGTTTTTCAAATTTTGCTCAATGAAGATTTGAATTTAAAATCTTGTTTTTACAATATTTGATTAATTTATTTATAAATACTGCATAAACTACAACAGTACAAACGTACTCCTAAGACTCATATATTCATCTTAGAAGAAAATAGGAAAAATTTAAAATTTAAAAAATAATATTTATTATATACAACACATAAAAAGTATTGGAGGAAAATTGAATTATTGGATATTGATTACACTGGTTCTTTACATACTTTTTATTCAATGTTTTACTTAATTTAACAATTGTAAGCTTTGAAAACAGATTCTTACTTACTCTTCTCTATTCTATTCTATGCTTTTCAATCTTATTCTATTCTATTCAATTCTATTCTGCTATACTTTATTCTTTTAGGCTTTTAGTGCAGTTTGCGCCACTTTTTCAAGTTAACACTTTTTAATGTTGGTTTTAAATTTTTTCTTCTCTCTAAATATTGTATTGTATTGTTTTGTATTGTAATGCATTGTATTGTATTGTATTGTATTGTCTTGTATTGTATTGTATTGTATTGTATTGTATTGTATTGTATTGTACTGTATTGTATTGTATTGTATTGTATTGCATTGTATTGTATTGTATTGTCTTGTCTTGTCTTGTATTGTATTGTATTGTATTGTAATGTATTGTTTTGTACTGTATTGTATTGTATTATACTGTATTGTATTGTATTGTATTGTATTGTATTGTCTTGTCTTGTCTTGTATTGTATTGTATTGTATTGTAATGTATTGTTTTGTACTGTATTGTATTGTATTATACTGTATTGTATTGTATTGTATTGTACTGTATTGTACTGTATTGTACTGTATTGTACTGAATTTTACTGTATTGTATTGTATTGTTTTGTATTGTACTGTGTTGTATTGTATTGTATTGTACCGTATTGTACTGTATTGTTTTGTACTGTATTGTACTGTATTGTTATGTATTGTACTGTATTGTATTGTATTGTATTGCATGGTATTGTATTGTATTGTATTGCATTGTATTGTATTGTATTGTCTTGTCTTGTCTTGTATTGTATTGTATTGTATTGTAATGTATTGTTTTGTACTGTATTGTATTGTATTATACTGTATTGTATTGTATTGTATTGTATTGTACTGTATTGTACTGTATTGTACTGCATTGTTGTATTGTATTGTATTGTATTGTACTGTATTGTACTGTTTTGTACTGTATTGTACTGTATTGTACAGTATTGTTTTGTACTGTATTGTATCGTATTGTATTGTATTGTATTGTACTGTATTGTACTGTATTGTACTGCATTGTACTGTATTGTACTGTTTGTTTGTTTTTTAACTATTTTTTTTCTTCCAGGGTCAAAATTTGAAAAAATAGTGCCAAGAAAGTTTTTTTTTTCAACAAAACAAATTTCTAAACATTTGCTTTTATAAAATTGTGAAAAATTTTGACCATGGGAGAAGATACATACAAAAAATGATCCAAAACTATCCGAAAATGTTGTAACAATCGTTTTTAGATTCGTTTCCCGATTTTTATTTATTTAGGGTAGAGATATTGCAAAGTTTAATGAAATAAAATTTTAACATTATACAGTTTTGAAATTGTAGAAGTTTTATTAATTTTTGTTCTAAAAACGATTAATAAGACTAATTGTAGGGTTATAACGCGTGTATCCTGGCCTACGGTCAGACTGGATCTGGGAAATCCTTCACTATGATGGGATCAAACAAGGATCCAGGGATTATACCAAGATTATGTGATCATCTATTTGAAAGGTTAGACTTTTTATAAAGGTTTAGCATTAAAACCACCAATTCTGTGTTTAGATAATCAAATTATAAAGTTATAAGAAATGAAATAATAATTCCCTTTTAAAGAAAATGAACATTGTCATCGGGATTTTATCTGGAATGTTTCCCTAGGAAATTTATAAATACTTAATGTTAATCAAATCTGTGCTTAAAAATACTTTGTAAGAAAGTGTCAACATTTATCAGAATTTATAAAATGTCCACTATAAATTCTTTACATCGGAGCCCCCCCCCCCTTTTTTATTATACTATAGCTGTCCTACAAATAAAGTCTTGGTATGTGGTTTCTTAACATAACGGACACAATACTGACCAATTTAACCAATCAGAGATTTAAAGGGTTTCACAAAGGTACACTCTAAGAGATTATCAAGTACAGAGAAATGGACCAATTATACACGACGTCACAAGTGTCAAATATAACAAGGAAAACGAAATTTTCTCACAGTAGTTGACATGTTTTCCAAGATTAAATAAAAAAATGTAAAAACAGAAAATAAAGAATATATGAAATTGCACTTTCTTTACTTTAAGATAAGACTTCATTCTATTTTAAACGACCCTCCATACAAAGAGGTGAATGTACGATTTACAACGGTACCTTTTTTTAGCTTTAACGGATCATAAAGGACAGAGAACTCCGTGTGTTCATCTCTAACATGGTTTAAATTCCGGAAAACTGGGGTGCAATAACACTGGAATGTATTGTACTTTGTAACAGGGTTCTTGATAAGAAATGGTCTTATAATATATTGTAAACATTTATATTAATTTCTTCCTCGGATTTTCCCTTTATTTATTGTTTTTTTTTTGTGGGGGGGGGGAGTTGACAATTCATTTCAAGATCCACTATTATTATTTCGCAGTTTAAATTTCATTTAAAGGGACTGTGAGCGTATTTTCAAGTGATCCTTCATGCAAATATGGCAATGTCCGATTCACAACTAGTTGTACCCTTGAAACTATTATCTAATCAATATTGTGGGAGATACTGTTGTTTTTATAGGTTCAAAAGTATTCAACTCTGATAATTTCTATAAGTTTTCCTGCAGTCGAAATGCACAAATTACTTTTGTAGCGAAACCACAACTGAAAATAAACAGTCTTTAAAATTATTAACATTGATATCTAATTCATGATCAGGGCAAAATGTTTAGGGTACCGTTGTTAATCGGGCATTTTAATTTTTGCACGGTGGGTCACTTGACATTACACTAAAAGTCCCTGTGCTGTGTCTTGTTAAATCTAATTTTGAAAAATCCATCTTTTCTAAACTTTATTATTCCGGGACAAACCACAAATTATAATCTACTCGGTCTCCTTTATAAATAATTGATGAGAAATAAATGAACTTTTCTAACAAACAAACACTTGTCTTAGCAAACAACAACAAACAAACACTTGCCCTCGCAAACAACAACAAACAAACACTTGTCCTCGCAAACAACAACAAACTAACACTTGTCCTAGCAAACAAACAAACACTTGTCCTTGCAAACAACAACAAACAAAAACTTGTCCTAGCAAACAACAACAACAAACAAACACTTGTCCTAGCAAACAAACAAACACTTGTCCTTTCAAACAACAACAAACCAACACTTGTCCTAGCAAACAACAACAAACAAACACTTGTCATAGCAAACAACAACAAACAAACAAAATTTCTTCTAATTTCATAACTTTGTTTAAAGGAACTGAACACTCGCCATAAACTCTAATTTTCTATTTTCTTTATCTTTGAAAGATGATGATAATTAACTTAGCCTATTTTATTTAGCAAATTAGACTTTGTGACGAGTTTTCAGTGTTTTTCATGAAAAGATATTTTTTCTTTTCGTTTATTTACAATACATTGTTTTTTTGGTCTTACATTAATTGTTGTGCATTTAGTTAGTTTGTTTTTTTCCTTATGTTTTCTTTTAAGTTCTAATTAAAAAAACGAGTGTGCCAGAATAATTAATTTTAGATTTTTTTAGGAGAATAATATTGCAAACTTTAACACGTACTGTGTTTTGAATTCTTTGGATCTTTATCCAAAGTAAAAAAAAACCAAATTCACAACAGTTCTTACTTTCACATGTTATCGTACTTTGTAGACCCATGTACGGTATAGTCTAGTGTATATAAATGTCTTTATTATCCTGAATAATGGTTCTGAATACGAAATGTAAGATATAAAAAGGCAATAATACAGAAACTATTTACAGCTCTCTCACAATATATTATAATGCCTAGTGAGTACTGATTCAGCAAGGAAGATGTCTGAAAAATATCTGTAATCTTTAAAAAATAAAATTATAAAAATAATTGCAGAACAAGTTTTATCAAGCAATCATTTTTGCGTTGAATTCAACCTTATTTAACTATAATTTAGGAATACACTTCGGTTCATTTGATGTACCGGACCATGTACCTGACCATGTACCGGACCATGTACCGGACCATGTACCGGACCATGTACCGGACCATGTACCGGACCATGTACCGGACCATGTACCTGAACATGTACCGGACCATGTACCGGACCATGTACCTGACCATGTACCTGACCATGTCCCGGACCATGTACCGGACCATGTACCGGACCGACTTTTAGACAGGCAAGTTGTGTACAGTATACACATAAAACCTATAGACGGTTAAACGGGACGGTATACCAAATGAATCAACCGTCAAGAAACCCAACCTGGTCGCATATTAAACCTGGTCGCATCTTAAAAATCTAATTTATGCGAATAATGGTATATATATATATATTTGAGAAAAGAAACCTAACTTGGTAACATATTAAACCTTGTTTGTTTCAACTCTTTCAACAGTTCTTTATAGAAACATGATATTTACATTGAGGAACTGAGTTCTTTAATTTCAATCCCTATATCTTTGCAACCCAATGTTGTAGACAGACCTTTGATATTTTAAACTGTATTAATTGTTTTTAAACTATATTAATTGTTAGATTAAATAGTCCAAATTTTATATATCAAAGGTTTACACCATTAGGTTGCAAAGATATAGAAATTAGTAAATTTGTGTTTATGGTGCAAGACCGCCGTTCTTTTGATGTAAATACGACTGATACATAGAAGTGAGTATACATAGTAATTATGGAGTTACAGTGAGAATTTTATTAAAATACTGTCACTGGCCAATGAACACTCTCTTATCCAATATTCTTCTTGTCTTGTACTTTCACCGCATTTAATTTCTTTCCTGGTAATGCATTTAATGCATTATAAACGTAGTAAAAGATTTGTTTTTATTTAGATTGCAATCTTTTTTTTGGCAATTAAGCAGCTGTCACGCTTTTCATTTTAAACGAAATATAACGTCAGTATAGTAAATAAATTAAAAGCGCACCATACCAATCCGGGTTTATAAAATTCTAATTGGTTTACAATATCTAAGTTAAAGATTGTATTCTTCGCAACAAACCTATCTTTTATATTTCGCTTTTATATCTTTGCAACCTGATGGTAGCTAATTCAAATATTGGCTATTTGATTTAGCAGAATTTTCAACAGTTAGAACTTCTACCGCACATAGAGATTTAAATGATTTCAACTAATTTAAAATATAGTAATATATAGACGTATTTTAACCAGTTCTCTTGAGAGTAGTGGTTCAGCTAAGTGTACGTAGCTCAACTAAGTCTGGCAATTTATAAATTTTAAAATACATTTATCTGCAGGATTCAAACTTAATCTATTTAAACTTAATCAAAACAACTTTAATCTGGTCTGAGAGACAGAGTTTGGAACTTTACAATTGAATTATTTGAATCGATTCTCTTCCTGTGTATATAACTTCAATTGGAGTTTATAACTCCAATTCTTTCTCAAATAGAACATTTAGTTGTCAAACCTTCACAGCTGCGAGCATTGAACAATTAGTATTTAATAACAACTAAACTAAACATTCGTCATGAATTTTAATTTTCTGATCTTTTCATCTTAGAAACCTGAGGCCGAATTTAAAGAATGGGAGACGCGGCTCAAACATGGTTGGTTCCATTTGAAATTGTATAAGTGCTGGTCGCGGCGCTCAATTGGAACCGGTTTTTACCGGTTCAGCGACGCGATTTAAATTCATTCCATTCAGCCTCCGATGTAGTAGACTTTTGATATTGTAAACTATGTATGTACACGTGCAAAGTATTGAATGTAAAAGGTTTACACCAACAAGTTGCAACAAAAACTGAAATTTTTACCCCTTGCTATGACCCAGATCCGAACTTTACAAAAGGTGTTCGACCCCTTTCTCGGCCAAATTACTCAATCTTTCTGAAAGTGAGTGGTTTTGCTTCATCAGGTTGAAAACAAATTTTGGAGATCACAGATAGCACGCTAAAAATAATTGAAATGAAAGGAACTGAGTTCAAATGTTCTAAGCCCTTTTGCGAAATATATTACCATAACATTTTGTTGTAGGATAGCCCTGTCCTCCGCCCCTGACCATCAGGCTAAAGTCGAGGTCAGCTACATGGAAGTCTATAACGAAAAGGTAAGAGAGGTCAGCTATATGGAGGTCCATAACGAAAAGGCAAGAGAGACCAGCTATATGGTGGTCTATCACGAAAAGGGAAGAGAGAGCAGCTATATGGAGGTCCATAACGAAAAGGTAAAAGAGGCCAGCTATATGGAGGTCTATTACGAAAAGGTAAGAGAGGTCAGCTATATGGAGGTCTATTACGAAAAGGTAAGAGAGGTCAGCTATATGGAGGTCTATTACGAAAAGGTAAGAGAGGTCAGCTATATGGAGATCTATAACGAAAAAAGGTCAGCTATATGGAGGTCTATTACGAAAAGGTAAGAGAGGTCAGCTATATGGAGGTCTATTACGAAAAGGTAAGAGAGGTCAGCTATATGGAGATCTATAACGAAAAAATAAGAGAGGTCTGCTATATGGAGGTCTATAACGAAAAGGTAAGAGAGGCCAGCTATATGGAGGTCTATTACGAACAGGTAAGAGAGGTCTGCTATATGGAGGTCAATTACGAACAGGTAAGAGAGGCCAGCTATATGGAGGTCTATAACGAAAAGGCAATAGAGGCCAGCTATATTGAGGTCTATAACGAAAAGGCAAGAAAGGCCAGCTATATGGAGGTCTATAACGAAAAGGCAAGAGAGGCCAGCTATATGGAGGACAGGTCTAAAACGAAAAGGCAAAAGAGGCCAGCCATATGGAGGATAGGTATATAACGAAAAGGCAAGAGAGGTCAGGTATATGGAGGCCAGCTATATGGAGGTCTATAACGAAAAGGCAAGATAGGCCGGCTTTATGGAGGTCTTTAATGATAAGGCAAGAGAGGTCAGCTATATGGAGGACAGGTATATAACGAAAAGGCAAGGGAGGTCAGCTATAAGGAGGACAGGTATATAACGAAAAGGTAAGAGAGGTCATCATCTGACCTCTGTTTTAACGTACGACGCTTAATTAAAGGATCAAAGATATATTTTTTTGGAATTACTTAAAATTTATTTTCACAACAAAGCTTAAACAATATAAGAACAAATTAAAATTGGATAGAACAAACCTAATACATAAAAAATTTTTAAACATTTTTAACATATTTTACAACAAAAAAAATTTAACAAAAAATGCAGGTAATATTACAATCTGGTTCAACCGCTTTGTTTATTGACAAGTGCCTTTACCAGACGTGTAGCATAAAATCAAAAAAACTAAATATGAACTTAAAATAGCTAGACATATATATTACACTGAAATATACTAAAAATAGTATTTACGTCAAAAATTCTTACAAGCAGAAACATTTAATCTTTTACCGAAAATGTTATTTTTATCTTTTTCTTTTTCTTATTATTAATTCAGGGAATTCAGGATTAATATAGAGTTTTAATCTACAAATAAAAGTGGTAATCTCTTTTTGTCTGTCTATTTGTTTGTCCGATCATAACTCAGGAACCCCTGGACCGATTTGCCTTAAATTTTGGTTGGGGAACTCGGAAGGCCCACAGGAATGTTCTTAGTTTTATTTAAAAGTGGGTTTACTATTGAAAGAAAAAATTAGTTTCCAGGGAAAGCAGGGTTCGGCTGTTTGTTTGTTTTTATTTCCGATTATAGCTAATGAATCCCTAGACCAAATTGCCTCAAATTTTGATTGGGGAACTCGAGAGAACCTCGGAAATTTTCTTAACTTGGTTTTTAGAGTCTAAGTTGAGTGGATCGACTTTAAACGCAAAACAATTAGTTGCCCGGCAAAATCGACCAAGTGCGGGTAAACGGTAAACGGGTAACTTCAAGTAACTTGGGCAACGCTGAGCAAGCTATTGTGTATGTATATAATCAAAATTTTCAATATTTTTACAAGAACGAAAGGAAATTTTTATCTTTTATCAAAATATTTTTCCGTATTATGACGTCAAGCAATAATGCATTTAACGTCACGGGTATTATTCAGGAAACTGATGTATTGCTTAATAAAGTTTTATCTTTTGATTTAGTTTGTTTTTCTTTCCAAGTTTAAAGTAGATTATTTCAAGAACCCTTTATAGAAGTTTAAAATAATTAATGAGATACTTAAATATTTAAAAGTTTAGCCGAAATGTAGCAAATAATCCTCTATGCTGAATCGTTATCTAAACCTTAAGTTTTAACTGCTTCATCTAAACCTTCATAAGCCTGCAGGTTTAAAACTTCTTTGATATAATCTCATATACATCTACAGGTTTATTATCTACTGAATATAAACCTGTATAAATCTGTACGTTTAAGACCTAGCTTGATTTACCCTATGAAATCTATAAGTTTACAACCTATTAATGTAAACCTATATAAATTTGTATACGATCAAGTTATAATGTAAGTTTATATAAATCTAAAGGTGTAAGACCTTAATACTAACCTGTATATAAATCTGTGGGTTTACGACCTGCTTGATATAAATCTACCTAAATCTGTAGATTTACGACCTGCTTGATATAAACCTACCTAAATCTGTAGGTTTACGACCTGCTTGATATAAATCTACCTAAATCTGTAGGTTTACGACCTGCTTAATATAAATCTACCTAAATCTGTAGGTTTACGACCTGCTTCTATATATAAATTTGGCTTGTCTGTTTGTCTGTTTGTCTGTCTGTCTGCCTGTTTGTATCCAATAAACGTCAAAACGGCTGAACCGATCGGGCCCAAATTTTTTTGTGGGACATCTAGGGACCCCAGGGAAGGTTTATGAAAAATCAAAATTTCAAATATTTGTCTCTATCAAAATTCGATCGTCATTAAATTTTTAAAAATTTTGAAAATCCGCGAAATTTTTTGTAAAAATCCGCGAATTATTTTTGTTTTGTTTTACAATGTACACAAAGAGAACATGTTCACAACTAATTTAGAAGATGGGCGCGAAGCGCCCTCTAAGGCTAGTAATGTAAATCTACCTAAATCTGTAGGTTTACGACCTGCTTGATATAAACCTACCTAAATCTGTAGGTTTACGACCTGCTTGATATAAATCTACCTAAATCTGTAGGTTTACGACCTGCTTGATATAAGTCTACCTAAATCTGTATGTTTACGACCTGCTTAATATAAATCTGTAGGTTTACGACCTGCTTGATATAAACCTACCTAAATCTGTAGGTTTACGACCTGCTTGATCTGACCAGCACAAACAAGAGCGGGCTGAAGGTCAGAGAAAACAAGGTGATGGGACCTTACGTTGATGGACTTTCTCAGCTTGCTGTCGTCTCATATCAGGTTTGAAAACTCATTTTAAATTCCGTTATTCTTTCAAAAAAAGTTGTATCCTCTCGTTTTTGTCTCCAAAACTTTCTGACGGGCTAATTTCAAGTAATTCTCCATTCCTAGAGTGATGGTACCTTTAAACCGTTGTGTGGAAACAAATTTGTAATTATAAAGTTTCTCTATTAAACTGATTTGTGGATATATGCTGCAGCAAACACAAAAATAAATGACACAATTCTCTTTTTTAAGACAATTGGCGTGATCTTTTTTAGTTTTTATTCAGCTAGATAAATATTTAAATGGTACAGTTGTAAAGAGTCACTTGAAAATACGTTTTCAGTTTCTTTTAATTATTGTCAGTTTTATGTTTATAATTTTTCTGTTATTTGTTAAACATATATTTATCGCATTTGTTTGATCTTCATAAATAACTTTTAATGCCAATTGTTAACATTTATTTTTGAATATTTTGTGGGTTTTTAAATTGTTAATTTTTTATATGATTTTTGGAAGGAATTAAGTTTTTGTCACAACCTCTGGTTTTCTATTCCCTATATATTTGCAACCCAACGTCATTGAATTTAGATATTTCAAACTATAATGACTTCTGTTAGATCAAATAATCTAAGTTCAAAATATCTAAGGTTTACGCCATCTAGTGGCAAAGATATGGGGATTAGAAAGTTTGAGTTTGTGTCTAAGACTCGATTACTTTGTCGTACTTTTTATATTAAAATTTTTTTTTTGTTGACACATTTTTGCTGTTTACGCATATCTATATTTATAGTTTATTATTTGTTTGTTGGAATGATTAAATTTTTATATTTTTTGGTATATTTAATTGTTTATTAATGCGTCTCTGTATCCTAGGAGATCAACGACCTCATGGTTGAGGGGAATAAATCTAGGACGGTGGCTTCCACCAACATGAACAATGAGTCCAGCAGGTCTCATGCTGTCTTCACGCTCATACTCACATTCACGCTCAAGGTAAAGTAAAAAGAGGGGGGGGGTCATGGGGTATATACACTACACTTTTACACAACATGGATCCAATCAAAAAAACGGATGTTACAGCCTGACATGGGATCCATCTTTCATATAAAAAATCAATGAAATATTTTGGTCATAGGAAACTATTATGTGAATTTTCAAAATAATCAAAATTAAATGCTTGTATCCTCCTCGGATACTAGAGAAACACTGATGAGAACACTTTGTTATGTATTTATAACAAATATCGCGCCAAATTAAAGTTAATTGCCGTAAGATTAAAATCTTTTACCATAGCTCCTTTCATAGAAGAATAAAATTGATTTGAATTTCTAAATTTAAACCAAATAAATGTGTTTTTCTCATATTGTGTGTAATATCAAAGCTGGAGGTCGCAAAGTTGTACCAGTGATGAGGCATACCTCTTCCCAGGTTCTCCTTCTGTCTAGTTTACAGTCATATTGAGATCATTCTTAACAATTTGGCGAAACGCTATCTAGTTGATATTTCTAACATTGCTGAGAAACACGAACATGGAAAATTTGCTAATATAAGATTTAAATTTCATCCTTCTCCTTCTCTCTCTATCCTCTTCCCAACCATCCCCCCACCCCTCCTCCCCCTTCTATTCCCTTCCCCTTACCAATATTCAATTTACATATCTAATATCTGCAGGACTGTATCAGCGGAGTAACCGGAGAGAAGGTGTCCCGGGTATCCCTGGTGGATCTGGCAGGATCGGAGAGAGCGGTCAAGACCGGAGCTGTCGGAGAGAGGTTGAGAGAAGGATCAAATATAAACCGTTCTCTCACAACACTTGGTCTTGTTATATCTAAACTAGCTGAACAGGTTTTTATCAATTGCATTTTTCGGAAAAGGTGACTAAAGTAAAAAAGTCTTAACTTCTTTTTGATTGACCTATACTTTACATCTCGAAGGTTTTGTCTGTGTTTTTGTGATACTTTTTCTTAGTTCATTGAATAGTTTGATATTGTATCATTCTTTTTTTAAATACAACGTTAAATTTACAAAACTATTTTCTAATATTTTTTCTTCCCTGGCCCTGTAGTGTTAGAGACATAGAGAATAGAATATATATTAGAGAGGAATTAAAAGAATCTCTTGGTATGAATTTTTTCAGTCCCTTTCAGCCTGAAAGGGAGTTCAAAGTGTACAAATCATGTAAATGTTCACAAATTATATGCAGTAGAGTACATTAATACAGTATATTCTCTAGACTATTAATTTCAATTTCTAAATTCTTAAAGCCGTTAAATAAACCTTATAATGAATTAGGTGAATAAAAACCATCATTTGATTTATAGTTATAACGGAAAATCATCGTTTGTAAAGTTAAAGGCATAGAGTTGTAAAATGATCATTAATCAATTATGAAACCAGCCTATTTCATAATTTGGTTTTCTTTTATAACATTAATTTTAGATTTTCTATAAATGATATTCCAGGACCCAAAAGGTTATATAGCATAAAAATGTGAAGTACACCTGCAGTATGGAAACAGTACAACAAAATGGCCGTTTTACACTTTTTTCTAGTAAATTCCGCTCTATATATATTCTATTCTCTATGGTTAGAGATTTTAAATGTAAACCTGGTTTTTTTTCATTCGAATTGCACTAATCTGGAATTTATCTTGCCTTTTTTCACACTATTGCTTCCTACATCCGTCCTAATTTTGTCCTAGTTACGTCCTAGTTTGTCCTAGTTACGTCCTTCTTTTGAAAAAAGTACCTTAAATTCGTCTTTCACTCGTCCCACAATATTCCTACATTTTTGCAAATTTGGTTCTACGTTCGTCGTACATTTGTTCTAAATTTATGCTGCATAACTTTTCATTATCTTCTCCATATTTACGAGCAGTAGAGGATTAAGTGCGTTTTATGTAACAAAGAAATTGAGTTTTTGCCATAAACTCAATTTTTCTAATCCTTATATCTTTTAAATTTCAAACTTAAAACTATTTGATCTAATAGATTTCATAGTTTAAAATATCAAAGGTCTGCGACAACGGGTCGCAAAGATATAGAGACTGAAAAATTAGAGTTTGTGGAAATAAATCATTTCCTGATTCCTGGTTTTGTTTAAGGCTGGAGACCAAGAACGGTTTGTTCCATACAGAGACAGTGTTCTTACTTGGCTACTCAAGGATAATCTAGGTAGTTTAAAGGGAATTTATATGTTTTCAAGTTACCCTCCATTTGTATATTGGCATGTCGGATTTACTATAGCACCATTTAAACCATTAACTGAGCAATCATGAGATAGATATCCTTGTTATTCTGGAAAAGTGTTAATATCTGACAATTTTCTTCTTTTCACTCCCCGAGAAAAAATCCAGAAGTCATCTTTATAGAGAACCGAAATTGAGTAAAATAATTTTTCTGAAAATATATAACTTCATCCATGGCTTTAAACAAAGGTTTAAAGGGTACCGTAGTTAATCAAATATGTATATTCGTTTTAAGGGAACTGACTCTTTGTCACAAATTCGAACTATCTAATCCCAATATCAGATTAAAGGTTTACACCATGAGGTTGCAAAGATATATGTAGAGATTAGAAAATTTGAGTTTGTGGCACAGAATTTTTGTGCTTTAGCTGCAAAGTTAAATATATTTTAAGGCATACTAAATTGGGTTGCAAAGGGACTAGACAATTTAAGTTTGTGGCAAAGACTCCATATATATATACATTTAAAGCGGAATTGCTCTGCACATAAGAGCAAGATACATGGCCAATATTCAAATAATGAATGACGATATTTACATAATTGTATACCAAAATAATATATTTGAATCTAACAATGACAGAAATTAACCATTTTTATTTTTTAGGCGGGAACTCGCGAACCGTGATGGTTGCTACAGTTTCTCCGGCTGGAGACAGCTATGAAGAAACTTTATCAACACTCAGATATGCAGACAGATAGATAGATAGATAGATAGATAGATAGATAGATAGATAGATAGATAGATAGATAGATAGATAGATAGATAGATAGATAGATAGATAGAGATGTTTTTAAGAGATTGCTATTTTCAGGGCTAAAAAGATCATGAACCATGCAGTGGTGAATGAAGATCCAAATGCTCGAATTATCAGGTTTCAAACATTTTAAGTAATAACATTCTTATTTTTCATTTTATAATTGTAATTTAATATATCGATCCTTATTAAAAACAAAATTCATACCTAAATAACTTGTTATGACTTTTCCCGCGTATTATTTATAAAAAGTTTAAAGTAAGAATCTTGCAAGTTTACCATATCATAACTAAAGGAAATGATGTTTAACACGCTAATTATTTATAAAAAGTGTAAAGAAAGAATCTTGCAAGTTTACCATGATCATAACTAAAGGAAATGATGTTTACCACGCTAATTATTTATAAGAAGTGTAAAGTAAGAATCTTGCAAGTTTACCATATCATCACTAAAGGAAATGATGTTTACCACGGTATCCTTAAAACCTTTATCTAAGTAACAAAAATATGTCGTCACATATTTCTGTATTAAAAAGTGTTGAATCCAGTCGACTTCCTTTTTTGCCTCTGCTGCATAAAACTGCAAGTAACTTGTAAAGAGAATTGAAGATTGTTAATTGTCAGAAAAAAGGATGTGTCAATCATTTTTTCAGACGAAGGTTTAAAGGTACCGTTGTGAATCCGGCGTGTAAATTTTTAGGTACGTCGACAGTCCCTTTAACATATATGTAATTTTAGGGAGCTGCGTGCTGAAGTAGAGGCTCTCAAAGATATGCTGCTCCATGCCGCACAGCCAGCTGTTCTGAAGGAAAAGCTCTCAGAGAATGAGAAGCTTATGCAGGTATATCGTCCTAGACCAAGCTGTTGGCGCATAGAAGCTTATGCAGGTATATCGTCCTAAATCAAGCTGCCGGTGCATAGAAGCCTATCCAGGTATATCGTCCTAAACCAAGCTGTCGGTGCATAGAAGCTTATGCAGGTATATCGTCCTAAATCAAGCTGCCGGTGCATAGAAGCCTATCCAGGTATATCGTCCTAAACCAAGCTTTCGGTGCATAGACGCTTATGCAGGTATATCGGTCTAAACCAAGCTGTTGGTGCATAGAAGCTTATGCAGGTATATCGTCCTAAACCAAGCTGTCGGTGCAGAGAAGCTTATGCAGGTATATCGTCCTAAACCAAGCTGTCGGTGCATAGAAGCTTATGCAGGTATATAGTCCTAAACCAAGCTGTCGGTGCATAGAAGCTTATGCAGGTATATCGTCCTAAACCAAGCTGTCGGTGCATAGAAGCTTATGCAGGTATATCGTCCTAAACCAAGTTGTCGGTGTATAGAAGCTTATGCAGGTATATCGTCCTAAACCAAGCTGTCGGTGCCTGCTGACAAAACAAATAGTGAGGGGTTGAGTAGAGTTATATATACAGTACAAAAATGTTTGTTTTTTTAATAATAATTTTAGCTTTTCAACTTTTTTTTTCCAGCAACCTTTTTTCTTCGAATAATTTTAAGAGAATAAGAATTTTTCTGATATATTGATGAATTTTTCAAACAAAATTAAAAATACTTTGATTTTGACTAGGGCCGGCGATAATCCTTTCTAAGGAAAATGGGACTTTTGTGTTGAACACAAAATTATAAGATTTCAAATATTTTGAGCAATATAACGTTTATTGGAAACAAAAACAAACAAACAAAAACAGCGAAACAAAATATGTATATTTATTAATATAAAAATTCTGTACAATGTACTAAGCCGGTGGCTCGAAATGTTTAAAAACATTATTGAACTGAAAAAATGAAAAACATTATTGAACTGAAAAAATGAAAAACATTATTGAACTGAAAAAATGAAAAACATTATTTTCCTATTATTACAGTGAGAACCAGAAAACTTTGGAATAGGAAACTGACTTTTAGACTCAAGTTATGACTTTAAATAGTCCAATGAACATGAGACACAGCAATTGTGCAGTGTAAACAGACCCAATTAACTTAAACGTGATTTAGTTAAAATTACTGGCAAAACTATTTGCAATGTAATAACATTAAATATACTCAAGTACTGCTTTAATGTCGTCTTCCTTTTCCACAGTTTTCTGGGTTCTCATTGTATTAACAAAACCTTTAATGTCGAGGACATTCCTTGTTTTGTACCCTTCCTCCATTCCATTTCTAGTAATAGAGAACTATTTATTCTGAATAGGCTTTCATGCATAATAAATAAACGAGGTTTATACCCACAGATTATACACCACACGATAAAAAATTCAATTTTCGCAAATTTGCAAATTTTTTTGCAGATTCTAAAAGTAGAGCACAAGAGCTTTCTAATGATGTATCATTTGTCATATTTGGACATAAAACATGGGATTTAGAGGGGCCCCCCCCCCAGCGTATCCTGGTTTTCAAGTACCCCAGCGGGGATAGGGTTAACTTCAATAAATTATTCTAATTAAGTTTTACAATATTTCTAAAAATTTTCATGATATCAGATGAAAATATTTTGAGACTTCTAAATTTCTTGTTCTTCATTTTCTTCTTGATTGTAAATCTTTTATATCATATTTTGGCTAATTTGGAAAAAAAGAATATTTTTTTGTATGTCCTTATAGTTCGCCACTTTACAAGAAAGAACTATTTTTAGAGGATCTTGTTATTTTTCTGAACTCTGTATTTAATTTTTTTTCTGAACTCTGTATTTAATTGTTTTTTTTTCTGAACTTTGTATTTAATTGTATTTAATTGAACTAGCTGAGAGGATCTTGTTTTTTCGGAACTGTGGATTTAAATCTCAGGGAAATATTTTGGTTATTTTATTATATATTCACAAACCTAGGTTTGATCAATTTTTTAATTAAAGGTGATGAGTTTAACCTGGGAGGAGAAACTACAGAACACAGAACAGAAGCAGGAGGATAGAAGACAGGCTCTGGAAAAGATGGGGATATCCGTCCAGTCTAGTGGTATCAAGGTATACAGGAGATATCCGTCCAGTCTAGTGGTATCAAGGTATACAAGATATATCCGTTAAGTGTAGTGGTATCAAGGTATACAGGATATATCCATTCAGTCTAGTGGTATCAAGGTAAACAGGAGATATCCGTCCAGTCTAGTGGTATCAAGGTATACAGGAGATATTCATCCAGTCTAGTTGTATCAAGGTATACAGGATATATCCGTCCAGTCTAGTGGTATCAAAGTATACAGGATATATCCATCCAGTCTAGCAGCATCAAGGTATATAGTATATATCCATCCAGTGTAGTGGTATCAAGGTATACAGGATATATCCGTCAAGTCTAGTGGTATCAAGGTATACAGGATATATCCGTCCAGTCTAGTGGTATCAAGGTATACAGGATATATCCGTCCAGTGTAGTGGTATCAAGGTATACAGGAGATATCCGTCCAGTCTAGCGGTATCAAGGTATACATGATATATCCGTCCAGTGTAGTGGTATCAAGGTATACAGGATATATTCGTCCAGTCTAGTGGTATCAAGGTATACAGGAGATATCCGTCCAGTCTAGTGGTATCAAGGTATACAAGATATATCCGTTAAGTGTAGTGGTATCAAGGTATACAGGATATATCCGTCCAGTTTAGTGATATCAAGGTTTACAGGTCCAGTCTAGTGGTATCAAGGTATACAGGATATATCCGTCCAGTCTAGTGGTATCAAGGTATACAGGATATATCCGTCCAGTTTAGTGATATCAAGGTATACAGGATATGTACATTCTGTCAAGTGGTATCAAGGTATATAGGAAAAAATCTTGAGATAATTTTCATTGGATGACGACATTTATATTATGGGCAGTTGGACAAGAGTTTTAGCAAAGACGATATTTTGAAGTATCTGGAAAATTTATACAAAATTACGAAGAATAGATATATATCGTACGCAGAGAAGATAATATCTCTTTAAATTCGTTTATATATATATTTACATTATTGTTTTTTAAGAGTATATTTATTCTTTTATATGCAAATGACGATACTTCATACTTTAATCCATTTCTTCTCATATTTTCATGGTTTCCTGGACCGGTAACATTGTTTCATGGTTTCCTGGACCTGTAACATTGTTTCATGGTTTCCTGGACCTGTAACATTGTTTCTTCATTGTAAAATCATTCAGTGTGTTAGTTAAGGGACTGTTTTCAAGAAAGAAACCAAAATTTTATTTTAGCTCGTTAAATTAATAGAGTTTAAGACCGATATATCATCCTTCGTGGGTAACACTGTATATTCTAGATTGCGAAGCATCATTATTATAGATTGACAAGATATAAACTAATATATCTAACGTTTGAGAAGAATATTTATCAAGAGGAATGAACTTTAATAAATTCTAGATTGAAAAGGAGGAACAAAAATATATGCTAGGTTAAGAAAATATATGCTAGGTTGAGAAAATATATGCTAGGTTGAGAAAATATATGCTAGGTTGAGAAAACTAAACTTTTATATATTCTAGGTTGAGAAGAATAAATATTTCCTGGTAAACCTGAATGCAGATCCCTGTCTGAATGAACTATTGGTTTACTATCTCAAGGAACTTATATTCAACGAGAAAATGTGTAGTTAAAGAACTGATTACTCGCCTCAAACTAAAATTTTTAAATGTTAAACGTTTACACCACCAGGCTGCACAGATTAGAGATTAGAATTTCAATCGATCATTGAACAAAGATCTAAAGATAATGATAGTAAAAGAAGAAAGAAAATGTAAGAATAGAAAGATTGTGGAGAAGGAAAGATACGAAAAATATAAGATTTAAAAATGAGAAAAAAGGTAAATGTAAGAAAATAGAGCAGGCATGTTAGAACATGCGTGTATATTCTTATATGCGAAAATGCGTGTAAAAGGAATGAATGCCGCGTGTATATTCGTATATGCGTAAATGAGAGTAAAAGGAATGAATGCGTGTATATTCTTATATATGCGTAAGTGCGTGTAAAAGGAGTGAATGCGTCTTTAAGAAATAATGTTTGTATAAGAAGTGAATATGTGTATAAGAAGTGAATATGTGTATAAGAAGTGAATATGTGTATAAGAAGTGAATATGTGTATAAGAAGTGAATATGTGTATAAAAAGTGAATATGTGTATAAGAAGTGAATATGTGTATAAGAAGTGAATATGTGTATAAGAAGTGAATATGTGTATAAGAAGTGAATATGTGTATAAGAAGTGAATGCGTGTATAAAAAGTGAACCCGCGTATGAGTAGTGAATGGTGTTTAAGAAGTGAATGCACGTAGTAAAGTGAATACGTTATAAAAATTAAATGCGTGAATAAGAGGATAAGAAGTGAATGCGTGTATAAGAAGTAAATCCGTGTTAAAAAGTGAATGCGTGTAGAAGAAGTGATTGCGTGTTTAATGAAAAGATGATGAAAATTAGAAAAAAAAGGTTTAAGAGAGATAAGAAGAGAAGAGAAGGGAAAGGTTTGGGGGATAAGCGGATTTCTCAGTGAGGGAGTATTGAGTAGGTTTCAATTATGATTGTTTGCTCAGGGTTCTCCTGGAATATATCAAAGTGAAGATTAAACAGGTTTCCTTTAGAGGGTGATTAAACACAATCAGGACTAAGCGGGTTCTTATTCTCTTTCATTTAATCATTTATAATTAGATAATTGTTAATTAAGTGAGCTTTGAGACATTATATCTTTCTCTTTTTATTTATCATTTGGTTTTTCGTTTCATGTTGAATATTTCTCGTTCTTAGGAGGATACTACTCTTGTAGGACGTCCTGAGGCAGGTTTGCAACAAGATATCCAACTTATTGGACTAGGGATACAGGTAGGAATACAGGATATACAGCTTATATATAGGACTAGGATACAGGTAGGAATACAGGATATACAGCTTATATAGGACTAGGATACAGGTAGGAATACAGGATATAAAGTTTATATAGGATAAGGATACAGGTAGGAGTACAGGATATTAAGTTTATATAGGACTAGGATACAGGTAGGAATACAGGATATAAAGTTTATATAGGACTAGGATACAGGTAGGAGTACAGAATTTACAGCTTATATAGGACTAGGATAAAGGTAGGAGTACAGGATATACAGCTTATATAGGACTAGGATACAGTTAGGAGTAAAGGATATACAGCTTATGTATGACTAGGGAACAGGTAGGAATACAGGATTTACAGCTTATATAGGACTAGGATGCAGGTCAGGAATACAGGATATCAGCTTATGTATGACTAGGATACAGTTCAGGAATACAGGATATCAGCTTATGTATGACTAGGATACTGGTGGACTAGTTCAGATTGGAAAGAGTGGAAAAGTTTTGTAGGAATATTTTGTAATCACGAAACCTCTCTGCTTTATCTATTTCCAATGTTCCAGTATGCTGTATAGCAACAAAGGAAAATATTCCCTGAAACTTTAGTAAATTCATTCAAACTTTTTCATTTTCTCAAAATAGTTTAAAATTAGTTTCTGATGATGTGGGGGGCCAGAAATTATAGAAATCTTTAATAATTCGTCAGAAATCTTTCCTCTCTTTTTTTTTCTTCGAAATTTTTCAAGTTTTTTAGAATTTTATTTAAGGACGAGCACTGTAGGATCTGTAGAGTCGAGATGGATCTCTACCTGGAGCCCCTACCCGGAGCTAGGACGTGTGTTAATGGAGCTGAGATTACGACAAGAACACAGCTTCTCAACGGAGATAGAATACTCTGGGGATCAAACCATTTCTTTAGAGTTAATTGTCCTAAGGTAATTAATATTACTTACACAATATATATCTAATTAGCTGACCTGACATGTCATTTTTATCTTTTTAAAAAGAGAAACACTAGACAATTAATTTACTGTTTAAAATTTTTTTCAAATTGTTTTAAAAGACTCAGCAGCAATTATTTATCTAAAGGAATTGAGTCCTACCAAAAACTCTGATTTTCAAATCCCCATATCAGTATCTATGCAACCCAATTTCAAATTATGAAATCCGTTAGATCAAATAATCTAAGTTTACGCCATCAGATTGCAAAAATAGAGGGATTAGAAAATATGTGTTTGTGGCAAAACAAATACTAAAAAATGTGAATTCAAAATAGCAAAAAAACCTATAGGTTGATTAATCTAAAAAATCCATCCAGGTAAATATTTGTCCAGGTAGCAAACAGTGAACCCACTCCAACAACTCCATTTGACTGGAGGATGGCCCAGGAGGAGGTTATGCAGGCTGAGGTCGGGAATGCTCCCATGAGAGAGGCCATAGCGAGGCTGGAGAGACAATACGAGGTTGATAAGAAGAATGCTTTAGGAAATCCGTCAATAATGATAAATTTAGGAACTTGTCCTTTAAACTTCAAAATACATCAAACTTTGTCCTGGAAAAAAGGGGGGAGGTGGGGGTCCAGTTCTTCGTACTTTATGCTATTTTTTTTAAATTAAGAAAATATCTATAAGATTTTTTTATTGAATCGTCAATTTAAAAGTGATGATCAATTGAATTGATCTTTTTTGTTTTTCTAAACAATCTCTTAATTTTTAGTTTTTAAAATGTCAAAAAAGGTAAACTTTCAGAAATGAACCATCCTGCAGAAACCTAATTTGAAAAGAAAATATTATAAAAAGCAATATTTCTTTACTGGTGTAATAAAATAAAATAGTTTCCTGAGAGGGGAAATTGCAATTCTTGGAATAGTTTAAATTTAAACATATGTATTATCAGTATACACATCCTACCCTCCCAACTCAATAATAATCGATATAAATTCAGGAAAGATAGAAAAATATATTCTATTTCCAATTTAATTTCATGCAGAATACTTCCTTGTAGATATCTTCAAATATTATTCCTCTCTTACCACTCCTCATAGAATATTCCTCTTATCCTCTATTCAACCCCCCCGGCCCCCTCGGAATATTTTCTAACATATTGATGGAATTCTTTAGAAAATCAAAGAAAAGAATATGAGAAACAGTTTCAGCAGTTGAAGAGTTACATGTCTCCCTCCACACCCCTAGCTCCGTCCTTGCAATACGATCCGTTCAGAACCTGCAGGATGACCCATTCTACCAGTGTTATCTCTAGACTGGAGAAATGGGGGAAGGAGCAGGATGATTCGTTTAAACAGGGAATCTCCAAACTGCGCGAAGCAATTGTGATGGCGAATGGTTTAGTGAGAGAAGCCAATTTTATCTCCGCTGAGATGGGTAAAACAACCAGTTTTAGCGTCACCTTACAGATACCACCTCATAAACTAACTCCGAACCGTAAACTTGGAACTTTTATTAGTGAACCCGCAATCCTGGTTCGGCGTAAGGACAGCGGAAACCAGATCTGGTCAACGGAGAAACTGGAGATGAAACTAATTGATATGCGTGAGGTTTACGAGGACGTGAGACGGAACAATGTTGGAACCAACCTTCCCGATCCGTTCTATGAAACCAAGGAGCATCATCATCTGATAGGAGTAGCAAATATATTCCTGGATGTGTTATTCCATGATGTAAAGCTGGATTATCAGACTCCGATAATATCCCAACAAGGGGAGGTGTGTGGTAGGCTCAGCATAGAACTCGAGAAGACAGGAGGGTCTCTAGGGACACTCGGAGAAGGGGGAGGAGGATCAAGATTTAAACTAGAAGACGAGACCAACGATAATTATATAACCTGCCGATTAATAATCAAGGCTGCAACAGGTCTCCCTCCCTCCCTCTCACAGTTTGTTTTCTGTCAATATTCCTTCCCGGGGGAGGGAGAGCTCATTACCATCCCACCCTCGCTCAACCCTGATCCCAGGCTTCCCAACGGTAAACTTGAAACATCAGTAAACTTTAAGTTTGATCACAGTAGAGAGATAAGTTTATTGGTTGGAGAGGAACTACTAGAGTTATGCAGTGAAGGAGCTTTATCTATAGAAGTATACGGGCACTCGTCCTCAACCTTACTCAATGCCTGGGAGATGGAAGAGCAGAAAGCCAAGGCGACCTCACTAGCTGATCGATGGTCGGAGCTGACAAGAAAACTAAACTTTAAGATTGAGATCCATGAGTTAGACGAGACGGGAGTATATTCTCCGGTAGAGGTGGCAGAGAACGAAGATGTTGCAACCGGAGGAATATTTCAGTTAAAACAGGGACAGCAGAGAAGGTTGTTAGCTCAGGTCGAACCTATCATAAACTCAGGAACACTCCCTTTAATCTGCGACTCCATACTTAGTATAGAGATTGGGAGTCCTTGTGTGAGGAATAAACTACAGAGACCTTTAGATTCCTACCAGGAGGAGGATTTAACCCTACTCCGGGAGAGCTGGAGTCAGCTGCTGGATAAACGGCGGGAATATTTAAACTCCCAGATCCAGATGTACATCAACAAGCTCGATAAGTCGGAGCTGGAGTGTGAGAGAGAGGTTTCCCTTGTGGATCAATGGGTTCATCTCACGGACGAGAGAAATACTGTGATTGCTCCCACCCCTGGTTCCGGGGTACCCGGAGCCCCCCATCCCACCTCATATAAACCCAAACCTGGAACCGAACGACATTTCACCGTCCTCTTCCTCGATCTGAACGCAGACGACTTCTCCACCGGTGTTTCCGGGTCTGACAATGAGATCCCAGTCTACGGGATTAACTCTATCCTCCCTAAGGAATTATCCGGCAAGTTTTTCAATCTTCCAATAATAGGAAATATGGAGGAGGGTTGCGGAGCAGTCTCCAGTTGGGATTCAAGCATTCACGAATCCGTCTTTATCAATCGAATAACCCGGGAGAACGAACGTGTTTATATAATTGTTAAAGCTGTGGTCAGACTCTCCCATCCTGCTCCAATGGATCTAGTTCTAAGGAAGCGGTTGTGTATCTCGATAGTTAAACGGCAGTCTATCAAGGAAAAGATTAAGAAGACCCTGGGTAGATCACGTCCTCTTCAGTCTGTCAGCGTGGTTTATGAGATTGTATCAAATGTACCAAAGGTACCTAAAATTATTTGATTTTTTAAATTTCAAAAAGTTTGATTTTCAATAACTTTGATTGTTGCAATACGTTTTGAAGAATTTTTGCACACAGTATCAATTTAAAGTGTGAGTTAGAAAGATATATAAGCCAGGTTCGAATGCTCTATTTCAATGTCTAAAGAACAGGAAACCTGACCTTGACCTTTACTACAGCAAGCATATATAAATAGGCATGGTATGAATAAAAAGAATATGACAAGAATTTTTAGAAACAGAAGGCAAGCACAAAAACAAACCAGTTTAAGACACTTGCTCAACATTTTCATAATTTTTCATCCTAGTTTATGTTTACAAATTCTTTCATCTTTCTACAGTGAGAACCAGGAAGCGTGGAATGAGTGTCGTCTTTGTTTTTCTTTTCACCCAAGAAATCTTGCTTAGGATTTATTAGAAATAATTCGAACTCATATATCCCAATTAAAATTGCATAATAAATAAAAAAGACGACAAGCTCCACTGTTTTCTGGAACTGACTGTATGATTTAGGCGAGTGCCGAGCTAGAAGATCGGAAAAGTTTGGCGGTGATCGCCGCTTCCGGAACAGATACGGAGTCTGACAACGGAGAAACATTCATAGAACGATATACTAGAGGCGTTTCTGCCGTAGACACTATTCTATTCCTGGATAGATTACGGCAAAACGTTGTCGTGAAGGAAGCTCTGAAGTCCCAAGGTAAGGTGCAGAAGAGTATGCGGAAGACTGTGAGTGTTCCTAATTTCTCAAATATGATGAGAAGCTCCAGCTCACAGGACAACCTCGCCGGCCTCCAGAGGATTAAGTGTTCCATGAGTGTTCAGGACTTTAACCAGGAGGCCGGGAGACCAGGGCGGAGGCCGAGGATGGAGCTGGCTACGGTGCCGGAGGTTGAAGGCGGAGAGGCGGATAATATTGCCAGGCCAACCTTTTTAAATCTTGGATCAGCCCTAAATACAAGGTAAGAAGCAATGTTAAGCAATGGTATCTTATTAGATCCGTTTTTTTAACCCTCATTAATTTTGTCATACTACAGTATTCTCCATTCCAACGATTGAAAAAGATTACTTTATCAATAACGACACGTATTATTTTGTCGGTTTTATCTGCAAGGTTTAGCAAAACTGTGCAAATAAATCTAGTTTATTGTATTTACAATTTCTTTACAAACTTTTTATTGTTGTCCTAAACCCAGATCAATTGATGAAAAGGGAAAGGAGTTGAGAAAAGGAATTAATCAATTCCAACTTTTCATTTTCAAGTGGGTAGGGGGGGGGGGGGGGGAAGGCAAATAATGCTGAGATGAGATTTGTATTCTATTAGGTTTCTTATATTGTATAAAATGTGTTTTTACTCAACATTAATGTTACTTCTAGGCACACTGCAGAATGCGGCAAAATGTAGAAAACTTTTCGAGTTTTCTTTTCGCGCATTTCTTGAAGTTAAATTGAATAAGTTTGAAATGTGTTCCAAATATCAACATTTCTGGTTATATATGTAATTCACTTTTATCAAAACTTCTTTAGAGAAAACTGTTAAGAATAAAATGTTTTACCTTCCCTTAATGATTTTATGATACGTTTGTTTGATTTTGTTGCTTTGAATGAGAAAAATATCCTTCTGTGTTGTAGGCAGTGAAATATCTGAACAGGAATGAGAAACCATTGATAAAATTGAACCATTTTCACGCCTAATAAATCTATCACAGAAATCAAATTTGTACGAGCAGAAAATTCTTAACATAGAATTTGGGGAGAAAAAGTTTGGGAACACCTTCAATAAACGGATGGTAATTTTTCTACTGAGAATTTGCGCCATAAGGCAACCATTTTATATTTCCGCCATATTGGAAATAGGAGTAATAGATTTTGATTATTTTATTTCAGGCCACAAATAGTGGATATATTAAAGAGCAGAAAACAATACATTACACAATTGAACTCATCACACGCCTCAAACTCTAATTTTCTAATCCTTATAGCTTTGCAACATATATACGATTTAAACTTTTGATATTTTTAACTTTGATTTATAGCAGAATTTAGATTGAAACATATATCCAAGGTCTTCGATAACAATTTCACAAAAATATCAACCCTAGAAAATTAGGGTCTTGAGACGAGTAATCAGTTCATTCAAGAAGGTTTTCGATTTGCCATATGTTCCTACAGGAGTCCGATTATTTTAAAGGAATTAAGTCTTTACCAAAAAAAACTCTAATTTTCTATTCCTATAAATTTGCAATTCAATGTCGTAGAACTCAGATATTTCAATCTATTTCTGTTGGATTAAAATATCAAAGGTTCATTAGATTGGAAAAATATAGGGATGACAAAGTTTTAGTTTGTGGCAAAGACTCATGATTCCTTTTTATATTTTAACTTGATTTTAGATCTGAGTTGAACAAACTGTCTCCTAATCAACCAAATCCTAAGAAGATTTCCAGGTAGGAAGAACACACTAAACTATTGATCACGTTGAAATCAAACAAGATTAAATCGCACATTACGTCTTAAAGGGAGAGACCGGCTGTGTAACATATTTGAACTGAGACTGCAGTATTGTAGAGAAAAACTTTAGGATTCATTTGATACCAATGAGACAATTCTACGGTGTACAATTCTATGGTGTACAATTCGTTTGTAATATTTCATCAGTTGTTTCAGCTAGCAGAAGAAACGTTTTTTGCAATTCTAAAATAACATGGACAAAACATGGAACAAATACTATTTTACAAACTATAGCTACATTATTCAAACAGATTGAGAAAAATACATTTTAAAGAAATTTGCGAATTTTTTTTTCATAAACAGCAAAGAAAATAGTGATAATGAAATTATCGATTCTACAGTTCTACTATGGCTTTCATCAATAATTTCTCATTAGAAATATGTTCCTTAACAGCACATTAGTTTATACATTATTTTTTTTGTGGGGTAGGGTGGCTAGTGTGTGACACCAGTTCTCCTTAGATCACTGAAGTTAAGCACACTTGACCACAGCCAGTAACTGGATTGGTGTCCAGACTGGTGATCACGTGTTCGATTACCGTACTCCACACAAACCTGTGGTTTCAAAAACATCTGAAGCCGACATCTGGTTAAGCAGTTATGACCATCTGGTTAAGCAGTTATGACCACCTGACGGATGTAGGAGCACAGAAGGGCGGCTGTCAACATCTCTCGCAGCGAAAGGGTGCGTGCTTTCTACTCGACAAGAAAGAAGTCTTAAGTGGATTGATCCAAATCTTCGCAATAGAAAAATTCCGAGATTTAATCGTAACAACCCGATCATGTCCTGGGGACAAAAAAAAATGTTTTTTCCAGCTCATTAAATAATTGTAAAAATCGTTCCTCTGCTGGCTAAAAAACTGGTGAAATATTACAAACGACTTTACGCTCTTATTTAAGAATTGTACACCGTAAAAATATCCCATTGGTATCAAATGATTCCTAAATTTTCTCTCTACAATACTGCATTCTCAGTTCAAATATGTTACACAACCGGCCTCTTCCTTTAAAACGTTAGCTAGCAATTCAAGAACGTTGGGGCTATAAAAAAGGCATTAACATAAAAAGTATATGTAAGTTAGTATTGTAATACACAAGGCCAAAGCGTTGCGTGTGCGACCCGTCAAAGTGGCCCTGGTCTTGAATATTGAAACAACTTAACTTCTCCGTGCTAAGTTTGTCTATTCTCGTTCAGATTTTGATATTTGTATGTTAAGATAGAAAACACTCGAGAAAACTGGAATATATTTTAATAAAAACAAATTATGTAGAAGTCAGAGGGAAGAATCATGTTCAAGCACAGTTTTCTTATTAAAAATAAATCAGCAAAGGAATTGAGTTCTTGCCATTCCATAGTTTAAATTATCGCACCGTAGATCTGAACCATCAGGTCGCAAAAATTAAAAAATTTGAGTTTGTGGCAAAAACTTATTTACCTTGTGATCTCCTACCAATATAGGACAGAACAATAGGACGGAACAATAGGACGGAACAATAGGACGGAACAATAGGACGGAACAATAGGACGGAACAATAGGAAGGAACAATTGGACGGAACAATAGGACAGAACAATAGGACGGAACAATAGGAAGGAACAATAGGACGGAACAATAGGAAGGAACAATAGGACGGAACAATAGGACAGAACAATAGGACGGAACAATAGGACGGAACAATAGGACGGAACAATAGGAAGGAACAATAGGACGGAACAATAGGACGGAACAATAGGACGGAGTAATAGGACGGAAATTCCGCCATCAAGAGATCTAAGTAAATCACTGATTATTGTACTAAACCCAGTTATATTTGAGAATATCGAAAGATTGAATAATTTCCCTTCGGATTTTCAAAAAGGCAGCTGGTAGATGCATAATTAGTATTTTCTGACAATGCAATGCTTTGAGGGTTTAAGGGACTGAAACCTTAATTTCAAGTGATCCTCCATGCGATTAAATTGCCATGTACGATTCACAACGGTACGTACCCTTAAAAACTTTGTCTGATTAAGTTTGAATTAGATATCAATGTTTTTAATTTTGAAAACAGGTTATTTTCAACTGTGGTTTTTCTACAAAAGTGACTTGCGCATTTCTCCTGAAGGAAAAAAAATATAGAAACTATTAGAATTAAACACTTTTAAAACTATAAAAAAATACATATTTGGTATCGTTGTGAATTGGGCATCGTCATTGTATGGAGAGTCACTTGAAATTACGCTTACAGTCCCTTTGAACTAAATATAAAGTGTAGACTGTAGAGAGATAATAGAAATATTTTCAAAAAATAAATTCTAGTTTGTGTCCTGAAATAGGGTTAATCCTGTTCCCGGTGAATTGACAATGATTTTAGGAAAAAGATTAGAGAAGCTAAACCTTTCCTTCAACAAAAAGAAGAAAAAGGAAAAGATTTTCTCTTGTAAAAAGTTTAGAAATTTGTCACAAACAGAAGACAAACCTAGATCCAAACCATTCACCATAATTAATATCTTGGCAGGAACATCTCTGAATTTGCAAATAAATAGTGTCGCAAATATTTCATGTTTTTGCTTCAACTATCGAATCCATGTTTTAATGAAATCTACAGTGAAACCCTTAATAACGAGTACATCGAAAGAATTCATCAAATGTCGTATTCTTCACTTTCTGAATATGGAATGTTGCAGATATTTAGTTTTTTAATTAAATGATTATTTGGAACTCTTTAAAACTATTCCTGCATATTCATGGCTATTTATTTATTTTCGCAAATACTGAAATTTACGTAATACTAGAAATTCAAGGCGCTTCGCGCCCTTCTTTCTAGCCTTAGAGGGCGCTTCGCGCCCATCTTCTAAATTAGTTGTGAACATGTTCTCTTTGTGTACATCGTAAAACAAAACAAAAATAATTCGCGGATTTTCACAAAAAAAATCGCGGATTTTCAAAATTTTTAAAAATTTAATGACGATCGAATTTTGATGGAGACAAATATTTGAAATTTTGATTTTTCATAAACCTTCCCTGGGGTCCCTAGATGTCCCACAAAAAATTTGGGCCCGATCGGTTCAGCCGTTTTGACGTTTATTGGATACAAACAGACAGACAGACAAACAAACAGACAGACAGACAAGCCAAATTTATATATAGATAGTATAAAACTCATTGTCAAGACGACATTTGATAAATTCTTCCGATGTATTCGTTATTAAGGGTTTCACTGTACTAAATTTTAAACCTTTGATTTTTCACACTATGAATTCTCCCAGACCAAACAGTCAAGGATGCAAAGAAATTGTTATGGTTGATATTTCCCCAAAACATATCTTGTTGATATTTCTCAAAGAAAACCTGGTGAAATTTCCCAATCAAAACTTATTAATCTTTTTAGAAAAAAACATGGTGGTATTTCCAAATCAAAACTTATCATTATTTGAACAAGAAAACTTGTTGATAATTCTAAAAGAAACTTGTTGATATTTTCAAAAAGAAAACTTGTTGATAATTCCAAAAGAAACTTGATGATATTTCCGAAAGAAAACTTGTTGATAATTCTTAACGAAACTTGTTGATATTTTCAAAAAGCACCCTTGTTGATAATTCTCAAAGAAACTATTTATTATTTCTGAAAGAAACTTGTTGATAATTCTGAAAAAAACTTTTTGGTATTTCTGAAAGAAAACTTGTTGATAATTACCAAAGAAACTTGTTGATATTTCTGATAGAAAACTTGTTGATAATTCTGAAAGAAACTTTTTGGTATTTCTGAAAGAAAACTTGTTGATAATTCCCAAAGAAACTTGTTGATATTTCTGAAAGAAACTTGCTAACATTTCCGAAAGAAAACTTGTTGATATTTTCGAAAGAAAACTTGTTGATATTTCCCAAAGAAACTAGTTGATATTTCTCAAAAATAACTTGTCAATATTTCCCAAAGAAACTTGTTAATAATTCCCAAAGAAACTTGTTGATAATTCTCAAAAGAAAGCTTATTAATATTTTCAAAATTTGTTTTTTCTAGATTGATTGTGCACAATAAGGAAAACATAGATGGAAGAGAAGAATTAAAAGGTAATTAAATTAATTACTTATTTTCAACATTTTATTTGGTCCCTAAATGAAAAATATGACGAGTTTTCATCCTATTTATCATTTCTGACAAACCTTCAAGAATCCATTAAAATGTTTTCACAAAATTTGGAAAATATAAAAATATTTGTCCTCTCCAATTTTCTGTTTGTAAAGAGAAGTCCAGTTCCTCACCGTATACTCATTTAAGGATTTACTCTAGGGAGAGGGAAGGAGAGAGGGAAGGGAGCAAATAGAAGGGGGTGATTCGTAAAGGGGGGGAGGGGGAAACAAAGATTAAGGAGGAGATAGAGAGGAGCTATAGACAAATTTTGACGATTCAGATTCTAACGAGTAAATCAACATAAGTTTCCCTTATCACTCGTTTAGAGCTTTAAACACACACATGAGTTTGAGCGGACCTGGGAACTTTAAACTTGAAAACATTTTCATCAAATATCAAAACATTTGATGACTGCTTTGTAGAACTGTGTGAAGGATGGGAGAAAGGTTTTTGAGAAAACCTTTCAGTTCTTGTGTGAATGTTTTTAAGCATTTTTACTCATGCTGTGCTTTCACAATTCTAACATTCTGCAAAATCAGTTGTACTTTATTAGAGCAAATAGAATTTCAGAAGTTTTTATAAACTAATAATTAGGAAGATTTTTGAAGGAAACTCTGTATATATTTAGGTACCCAGATCCGGAGTAAAGTTACTAGTTCCCAGACCCTGGAGAGTTTAGCAGAGCTGCCCAAACCTGGACCTTGCACACCTTCTCTTAACTCTAGTGGATACGGTTCACAGGTAAGCCTGAACCTGAGCCTTCTCTTAACTCTAGTGGATACGGTTCACAGGTAAACCTGAACCTGAACCTTCTCTTAACTCTAGTTGATACGGTTCACAAGCAAACCTGAACCCTGAACCTTCTGAACTGGGTACGTTTCACAGATAAACCTGAACCTGAACCTTTTCTTAACTTAGTGGATAGGGGTCACATGTAAACCTGAACCCCAACCCTTCTCTAAACTCTTGTGAATACGGATACGGTTCACAGGTAAACCTGAACCCTTAACCTTCTCTTAACTTTAGTGGTTTCGGTTTACAAGTAAACCGGAACCCTGAATCTTGTCTTAACTCTAGTGGGTACGTTTCACAGATAAACCTGAACCCGAACCTTCTCTTATCTCTAGAAGATACGGTTCACAGGTAAACCTGAAGCTTCTCTTAACTCTAGTAAATACGGTTCACAAGTAAACCTGAACCCTGAACCTTCTCTTAACCCTTGTGGGTACGTTTCACAGATAAACCTGAACCTGAACCTTCTCTTAACTTTAGTGGATAGGGTTCACATGTAAACCTGAACCCCAAACCTTCTCTAAACTCTTGTGTATACGGTTTACAACTAAACCTGAACTCTGAATCTCGCTTTAACTCTAGTGGATACGGTTCACAGGAAAACCTGAACCTGAACCTTTTCCTAACTTTTGTGGATAGGTTTCACAGGTAAACATGAACCCTAAACCTTCTCTTAACTCTAGTGAATATGACTTACAGGTATAATTGAACCCTGAACCTTGTATTAGATCCAATGGATACCGTTCACAAGTAAACCTGAACCTGAACCTTCTCTTAACTTTATTGGATATGGTTTAGAGGTATACCTGAACCCTGAACCTTCTCTTAACTCTAATGGTTACGGTTCACAGGTGTATCTGAACCCTGAACGTTGTCTTAACTCTATTGGATACGGTTCACAAGTAAACCTGAAACTGAACCTTCTTTAACTCTAGCGGATACGGTTCACAAGCATAACTGAACCTAAATCTTAACACCTGCTCTTAACCCTATCCCTGCTGGGGTACTTGAAAACCAGGATATGCTGGGGGGGGGTCAATTTGACCCTCCCCTCTAAATCCCATGTTTGATGTCCAAATATGACAAATCTTACATCATTGGAAAGCTCTTGTGCTCTACTTTTAGAATCTGCAAAAAAATTTGCAAATTTGCAAAAATTGATTTTTTTATCGCAAAATCCAGTTATATAGTAAAAATGTTTGCAAAAAAAAATTTGTCCAAAAAATGAAAAAATATACATTTTTTAAAAGCCCTTGACCATGCCATTTCAAATATGCAAAAATTTTTGCAAAATTTTAAATAACCTGATTTTTAATCAAGAAAAACTAAAAATGTGCAAATTTCCTTTGACAGGTTGTTTGCAAAAAATTTGCAATTTTTTTTCGCAAAACTTGTGGAATCTGTTTCCTTATGTCATAGGCTTTCCAAAAAGCTAAATTTTATCAAAATCTGACAAGTGAAAGTGGGTCAAAACAAAGATTTAGTTTGTAACAGGAAAAAGCAGTCATTCAGGCAGTGTGCCTAAGGGCTCAGGCAGTTAGTATTAAAGCCCGGTTTTAGGCCTAAAGGGAGGGCTTTGGGTATGTAGGAAAAGGCAGAAAATTTCAACAGCCTCAGACCAATACTTTTTGAGTTATGTAAAAAAAACTACAGGGGGGGGTCAAATTGACCCCCCCTCAGCAGGAATAGGGTTAACTGCACTTAACAGTACAAATGAGGCGTTAATTAAAAAAAATTGTTTAGAAATTAAAAAATAATTGAGTAATCCCAGGAGATATATTTTCCCGAAAGAAAATTTGCCTATGCTTAAAACTGTTATCCAGCCTTGTCTTCTATTAATTTAGAAAAGGATTTGAGTCTTTGCCACACATTCAGTTTTTGTAAAACCTATATCTTGGCAACTTTATGTTGTAAACCATTGATATTTCAAACTTACATTATTTGATCAAACAGAATTCAAAGTTTGAAATATTAAAGGTCTACGACATTGGGTTGCAACTATATTGAATTTAGAAAATCAGAGTTTGTGGCAAAAACTCAATTCCTTTGACACTTTATAGCTTTGCGTTTTTTAGGCAGTGTCAAGCAATACTTTATCCAGCGAAGATTCATTATCAGTCAATTCAATATCCGTAGATGAAACACCAGACCATGAACAGGTCATAATGATAATGATGATAATTATAATAATAATAATAATAAAAACTGTATGTTTAGGGGATGTTATCACTAAATATTCTGAAAGAACAAAGTTCTATGCTCAGGTAAGTAAATATTATAAGAAAATACGAAGAATCAATATTTATAAAGTTGTAATCTCTGTTTGCCCGGCCTTCCAAAGCTTTCCAGAAACGACCTTTTCTTTAAATCAATCTTAGTTATTGTTTTCATAAAACTAGTTCCAAGCAGTTCTAATGAGTACACAAACTCTATCACCTTATTTTTAGTATACATATCTTGATGCAATCCAACCTTACACTTAAGGAACTGAAATTACTTTTTAGATTTTTAACTTTAATAATTTATTTTAATTAAATTTTACAATGTTTTTAAATATTTATATGATATCAGATGAAAATATTTTGAGATTTCTATATTTCTTGTTCTTCATTTTCTTCTTGTTTGTACATCTTTTAATCATATTTGGCTAATTTTGAAAATAGAAAGAAAAGATTCTTTTTTGAATGTCCTTGTAGTTCGCCACTTCACAAGCAAGTTCTATTTTTAAAGGATCCTGCATTTTTTCTGAAATATGTATTGCATTGAACTAGTTCTTGCTTTCTTTTATCTGAACTCTATACATAATTGTTTACTGTTGAGTTGCATATGACAAAGCAAAAACACAATTTTCTGATAATTTCTTAGGGGCGGGGATGGGGGGGGAGAGGGATTGTTCAGCCCCTTCCCCCCTCCCTGGGGAACGTTTTTGCAAGCCCCCATCTCTTATAATAAGAGATTTACCTTCAATTTTTCCTGTTCAATTTTCTTTTTACTTTTTGCTTTTTGTTTCTTGTTTCAACACATTGAGGCCTCTCCAAATAGTTCTTTTGACATTGAGTTGTGAAGCAGGTAGGAGAGAGATAAGGAGGTTTGTAGGAGGAAGGGTATAGGGGATTGCTCCCTGTGTTCCTTCTATTATACTCTTTCCGAGTTAAGGGGCATAACTTTTTAGATTAAAGTTTTATAATTTTGGAATACTTAACTTAACCTGATCTAAAACTTTTGTGTCTTAAATTTGTGATAACTGAGCTTTGCCGTCAACCTTTCCCCTTGACAGCTAAGCCTGAGACCCCAGAATACCCCAATAATACCAGGAATGGACAATTTTATCCGATTTAAGTAGTTAAACATCAATTTAAAAGTTTGTCTACTAGATATAAGCTAAGCTAAATCCAAAACCAAAGTTTCACCCTTAGACTTGTTTAACTAAAATATTGTATAAGATTAAATACTTTAAAGTTTTGTAAATAGTTTATCTTCTGTTAGAACTGCTGAGGTTAAATCTAGCATCAATCAAACTTTAACTCGTTAATCCAACTTTCTCATTTATAAACCGACAACTGATGGTTTACTTTTAAAAATCTCGCGCATTTTTGAATAATTTCCAAGTAATGTAAGTACTTCTATAGTTCCTGGGTTTATACAGAACGGTTTCCGGCCTCTAATGCAGTTTTGTTATAACTCTTTTCAGAGACATTGAAATATCATTTATGTAATTTTTTATATGAGAACCCAATAAAACCAAATTTATAAAAGAAAAATAACAATATCTTCCACAATATTGATTAGATAAACGTTTGAAGAGTACACTTGTGAATCAGTCAAACCTCTCAATAATTAACTATACAGGATTAAATTTAATAGCATTTATTTCAGTCCTCCTGATCTATCCCTCGGTTCCTCTTCTCCCTGTGAGGAAACTGATGTAACTGTAACAGAAACTACCCCCTCCTCCTCCTCTACTCCTCCACCCTGCTCAACCCTTCCCTCCTCCTCACCTACTCCATCCTCATCTTGTCCTAACGGTTCTATGGACGGAAGTACGTCCTCTCTCTCCACTAGTCTAACTTCACTTGAAGCGTGTAGTTCTCCTAACCCGGAGCAGAGTCTTGAACCTAGATGCAGTAGAAGATCCTGTTTAGGAGAAGATATTCCAGGTAAAAAAAAACATAAAAAAATGGGAATCGAGTTAAAAAATCATGCAGTGATAACCAGAAACTGTGGAATAGGAAGTCGACTTTTAATCTTAATATATGACTTTAAATAGGCCAATGAACATGAGGCACAGCACTTGTGCAACTTAATAAGGGGATTAATTACTCCCAGTAAATCTAATTGCTTTGTAACAACGTGAAATGCACTTCAGTATTGCTTTAATGTCGTCTTCCTATGTCGTTTTCTGGTTATGATTGTAGAACTCTGTGTGATTCGAGTTTTCGAAATTTCATATTCTTAAGATTAAAAACAAATATTTTCTGTTTTCTGTTAGATATCTTTAAAAAGATTTAGATTACACATCTAATACCAAACTAGACACAACCCTTATTTTGGACTATGCCAGGTCCGACACAAAAGTGCTCATATCGATTTACAACCTGATAAACCAATAAACACCCCATGTAATTTCTAGGTTGGTTGAAGGTTGGAGAGAGTGTTCAAATCCGTCCTAGCAATCTCTCCGGTGTTGTTCAGTACCTGGGACGGACTGAGTTTGCTCCGGGTACCTGGGTAGGAGTGGAGTTGGATACATCACAAGGAAAAAATGATGGATCTGTCAAAGGAAAAATTCATTTTCATCTTTTTTCAAGTTTTAAAAAACGTCATATTTTTATTTTGATTATTGAAATTATTGAAATAGAATTAATGTCTTTAGGAATCCGATATTTCTCCTGTCAGCCCAAAAAAGGAGTTTTTGTCAAACCTAAAAACCTGAAACTGGACAAGGTACTTTTCTAACTAATGAACCAACATTGCATTTCTTATTTTTCAGAAATCAATTCATTTATCAAAACCATTTTTCAAAATTCCATATTTACATGTTTTAAAGTCGTTTTCTACTGAGATACCAAAGAAAATAAAAGTTATTATTTGATTCTTAAAGAAAAATCTTTTTTTTTCATGGGCAACGCCGGGCCCTTCAGCTTGTATGTTATAAATCATTTGAATACTGATTTTTTGGGAAATGTTATAGTATAGAAACATCAAAGTAAATAAAGGAAATAAAAGTACTATTACTAATAATGTAATGTATCAGTTTTTCAATTATAGAGTTGTGTGGTGGGGGAGAAACCAAACAGCATAATAGAAACCAAACAGTATAATAGAAACCAAACAGCATAATATCAACCAAACAGTATAATGGAAACCAAACAGCATAATAGAAACCAAACAGTATAATATTAACTAAACAGTATAATAGAAACCAAACAGTATAATAGAAACCAAACAGTATAATAGAAACCAAACAGCATAAAAGAAACCAAACAGTATAATATCAACCAAACAGTATAAAAGAAACAAAAAAGTATAATACAATCCAAACAGTATGATAGAATCCAAACAGTATAAGAGAAACCAAACAGTATAATAGAATCCAAACTGTATAATAGAAAACAAACAGTATAGTAGAAACCAAACAGTATAATAGAAACCAAACAGTATAATAGAAACCAAACAGTATAATACCAACCAAACAGTATAATATTAACCAAACAGTATAATAGAAACCAAACAGCATAATAGAAACCAAACAGTATAAAATAAACCAAACAGTATAATACAATCCAAACAGTATAATAGAATCAAAACAGTATAAGAGAAACCAAACAGTATAATAGAATCCAAACTGTATAATAGAAACCAAACAATATAATAGAAACCAAACAGTATAATAGAAACCAAACAATATAATAGAAACCAAACAGTAAAATAGAAACCAAACAGTATAATAGAAGCCAAACAGTATAATAGAAATCAAACAATATAATAGAAACCAAACAGTATAATAGAAACCAAACAGTATAATAGAAACCAAACAGTATAACAGAAACCAAACAGTATAAAAGAGACCAAACAAAAAATAGAAACCGAACCTTTAGATAAAAGTAAAAGAATAGAATAAAAGCAATGAAATACAAGCAATATATTGAAATACAAAAATATAGCACAGCAATTATGATGCCATCAAAATCGCATGCCAAAAATCAATTCAAACTAAACGTTTAGCTTGTGATATACGATAATATATATTGAAACTAAACAATTTAATAGCTGTTTAACAAATCTAATGCAAACAAACTAAATGAGAATTTAATGTGTATCAATAAAAATAAGAAATATAGAAATATTTATTTCAGCGTGGAAAAGAGATGAGAGCAAGAAGATAAGAATTCTCCTGGAGATCCCCTGAAACTAGATATGATTCCTGAACTAGATTCCTGGAAATCTTCTACCCAAATAAATCGTCAGAAAATCCTGAACTAAATAAATCTCTAGTAAATCTCCTGAACTAGATAAATCTCCTTAAAATCTCTAAAACTATAGACAAATCTCCTGAAAATTTACTAAACTAGTTAAATTTTTGGTAAATCTCTACAGACAAAGCAATCCAAAAATTTACAAATTCAATGAAAGATAAATTAAATTACAGTCTAATGATCTTTTCAAAAATTCACACATGCATTGAATGTGAGAAAGTTTCTATAAAGCAAAGTTAATATTCGAAGATAAAGTGAACTTTCGCATTTTTACAAAAATTATGAAAGTTCTCTGAAAATAGAAACTTCTCGTTTAATTGTTACTGCTTTGTCTAAAACTGAGTTAAAAAGTTAGTTTAGTTTGCTTGTGTGTCAAGTATACGATAATGTGATAACCGGCCCCTTAAATGGCCTTAATTTGGCCTTATATTGTAGAGGCATTTTCTTTACGTGCTTCGTGTCTCAATCCAGGGGATCAAAGGAAAATGGAATGCATGGTAAATGGTAATTTGCAATAGATTGTAGATACTTGACAAGATTTTTATTTGCAAAATCACATTCTATGCATTGTTATTGAAAACAAACTAAAAACGATAATTGTTAATAGTTTAAATCTGATAGGAATTTTCGCTTTTTTTGCTAATATTTTTTTGCAAAAGATTTAAAGAAAAATTTACATGAACCCATATTATATGCCTTTTAAACTTTGTATAAGAAATATTGTACATAACATAGAACATAAATATAAAAAGTAGGGTTGAATGTACTTATAGAGTTCATTGTACACTGTGCACTGTGCAGAGTAGATGTTTTAAAGTATAAGACTCTAAATTTTATAAATGTGTGTCATTAAATATCATTGATCTTCCCCAAGCTGTTGTACAGTTTTGGAGTACATATTTGTTACAATTTCAGCGCGTAAATGTGTACATAAAGACCAGTTCTGCTGGATAACTAAAGACGACTTGTCCTGTCTTAAGATTATTATAATATTATTGTTGTAGGGCGTCCGGCTGAATGAATCCCAAATATTCTGAGTTATAATATACACATTGGAAACAGTCTGTTCTTTATAGAAACGTGTTATAGATCAAATATTTCGGATTATCTACATCGTTACCATATAATCCCCTCTGTGTAGTCTCTATTCAACATCTAATCAGTCTTATGTACAATGTGTATTCATGTGAACTCACTGTATGTACAGTATAAAAAATCACCGACCCCTGTACAACTGCAGATATGCTAACCCTAAACTCCATCCATGAATACAAAAAGTTTCGTCAAAGTGTAAAAAATAGTTTTTAAAGGAACTTTCCACATTTGTGAAGAGTTGCTTTAAGTACTGCAAAAAATGTAAAACCATGCCAAAAAGTGACAAATCAAAATGTGATTGTGATTATGTAAGCTTTGCTAAATTTTGATTTATGCAATATAAGCCTCTAGTCTCTTTAGTCACCATAATAAACATATTTATCTCGTTCATTAATTCAATTACAGCCTTAGAAGAGGAGACATGGCGTTCCACTGAACATGATACTTGAGAAATTACTTAAAATCGTCTTTGATATCTGATCTGATAGCTTTTTAATGACAAAGATTTTTTAAAAAACCTTTTTTACTTAAAAAAAATTTATTTAAGGGACATGTAATCATAATATCAAGTGATTCGTCATCTGTAGAATGGTATATTCGATACACAGCAGTGGGCTCTTAAAAGCTCTGTCAGATCCAGAGTGAATGCTTGCTTAGATCTCTTCACAAGTACTTTTCACGCTAGAAAAAATTACGATATATGTGTATTAAGATGACTTGCATGTCTCTTTACATATAAAAAAGCAGTTTTTTATGGAATAAATAAATACGTTCCGATCTTCAGCTTGTGTATCTGCACAATGGAGCATCTGGGGTTTAAATACCTAATTGCTCTGATAAGAAATATTTAAGACTTTAATCAATAAAACATATATATATGAATCAGCTAAATGTTCAAGTCATTCTATCTGTATCTGACATTCTACAAAGACTAGAAAAGAACGTGCGAGAAACGCGAAGTAAAATTGATTCTCAGGCGTAAAAATAAAATAAAAAAACTTAATATTAGCGTTCCGAAAAAATTTGTTTGTCGAAAAGAATAATGATGTTTGTTCAATTTAGTTTAAAAATATAGACAAAAGACTGTTGTATATATGTTCCCTTTTAGCCGGCCAAACGGCTTGTCCGGAATGGGTCGATTTTTTTGTGGACACTCATGGGAATCATGGGGATGACATAGGCTAAAAAATTGTTTTTTTTTCTTCAAATTTGATCTTTTTTCTTTTTTTTTCATGGGCAACGCCGGGCCCTTCAGCTTGTATGTTATAAATCATTTGAATACTGATTTTTTGGGAAATGTTATAGTATAGAAACATCAAAGTAAATAAAGGAAATAAAAGTATTATTACTAATAATGTAATGTATCAGTTTTTCAATTATAGAGTTGTGTGGTGGGGGAAGGGGGGGGAGGGACAGGGTGAATATAAATTTTGATTTATATTCCCAGATTTTATTCCTGCAGTAATCATTTATATAAGAAAAGAATATATGGGCCTTCACAATATTAAACAGAATTTAAAAACATGGTGGAACAATTGTTGTCTATAGTACAGAACACTTATAGTTTATAGTTCAGAACATTTACGTTTTATAGCTCAGAACACTTACGGTTTATAGTTCAGAACAATTTCTGTTTATAGTACAGAACACTTTCTGTTTAGAGTACAGAACACTTACGTTTTATAGTTCATAACAATTTCTGTTTATAGTACAGAACACGTACGTTTTATAGTTCGGAACAATTACATTTTATAATACAGAACACTTACGTTTTATAGTACAGAACACGTGCGTTTTATAATACAGAACACGTACGTTTTATAGTACAGAACACGTACGTTTTTTAAGAACATGGACGTTTTTTAGTAAAAAACATGGACGTTTTAAAGTACGTTTATGTTTCATAGTATAATAGTATAACAGTAGTATAATACGAGTAACTTTACGTTTTTATAGTACGGCGCATGTACGTTTAAAAGTATAGTAAATGTACAATTTTTAGAACAGTGCATGTACATTTTATAGGAAAGTTCATAAAGGTTTTACAGTATAGTATATGGCATATTTTTTTTTGTAAAATTAGTGCATTTAAAGTAAAGTTTACATACTTCTTTGTAAGTTTTTAAACTATGCCCTACATTTGCGTTTTATATTACATTGTATGTACTTTTATTTATTACACTATATACACAGATGATAGTACATTTATATAATTATCCATAATGATTATTTTCAGATATAAATATATGTTTCATGATCCTTAAAGGTGTTCATTAACGAATTGTTTGGTAGAATTAAATTGAATTAGTTTTTAAATAAACCTTAGATGTGAACTTTTGTATTGAACTCTTGATCTCGATATTTTGTTAATCTGCAGATCAATGTCAATTCAATATCCCGCATAATAACAATGGAGGAATAACTATAATGATGAGATAAAACATTGATTCTCATATTAAAAGTGAACACAGTAGATATCGATATCGAGCAATCGGTATTGTAAGTAACCAAAACAAGTTCCCAGCTCTGGTTCTACTATTATAAAACATTGAAGAATACGAAAAATAAATCAAATCCAAAATTCAGCCTTAAAAATAATTTTGTTGCTGGATATTTGTTTCTAGAATAGTATTACTCAATAATTTCTATTCCAAGTAACTTTGCAACCTGAAGTCATTGTTCTTTAATATTAATAATTATTAGACGAAGTGCTTCCGTTGCCAGTGGATTTTTTTTGTTTTGAAAACTTAAAACGATCTTTGGAAACAAATTATTTAGACTTTTTTAAAACTCTATTTTTAGCCTATGTTACTATAGCTAACATACAAATATACATGAGCGAAGGGCTTTAGGATATAGTTATAAATTTAGATGTATTTTACATGTATGGCAAAGATGTTTGATTATATGACAGATGAAAATATTAAATAATTAAAATTTGTATAAATATTTTTCAAATAAACATTTTAATTTTCTCTTCAGAACTTTTGATCTCTCAAAGGAACTCTAATTTGAATCTCTAAATGGTTGAATTCAACACGATTTTCTCTTCTGAAATTCTTTCTTTGATGTACTATAAGAATTATACTCATCTAAATCAAAATTTAAAAACTTGAAAGAAACTAAATCCCTGCCTCAAACTGTAATTTTCTAATAATTATATCTTATCAAACTGTTGGTGTAAACATTTGATTTATAATTCTATCAACTTGACTTTTACTTGGTATAAAAAAGTTTTAAAAAAATTGTTTTTTGTTAACTCTGTTCCTTTCCAAAGGAATTGAGTTTTTGTCACAAACTCTGATTTTCTAATCCCTATATCTTTGCAATCCAATTTCGTAGACGTTAGATATTTCAAACTGTGAATTCTGTTAGATCAAATAGCCTAAGTTTGAAATATCAAGGGTTTCCACCATTAGTTTGCCAAAATATAAGGATTAGAAAATTTGAGTTTGTGGCAAAAACTCAATTCCTTTGATTTTGAATGGCGTCCATTTTATACTATACCATACTCAATCACCTTGGACTAGTTTTTTTTCAGTTTGAACTTACTTTTTAAACAAATTGTAAATATCATCAAGAGCCAAACTTTTTAATTTGCAGACTATTTGTATTCTTAAATTTCAGGCCACCCCGCGTATTTTTTATTTTCTTTGATGGTTTTCACAAATTTTTCGAAATTTATTTTTGGCGAACTTTTTCAATTTAAATCAGCCATAAACTTTTCTGCCCCTTAGTCATATTGAGCAAGATACAAAAAAAAAGTATTGTTTCAGTCGGTGTACGGAGAGGGGTTTAGGTTGTGAAGGAAGAGGGCAAGGGGGGGGGGCAGAGGGATTTGTAAGGAATGTCGAGAATAGAGACTAATTTGAGGAGTTCTTCTGGAGCTAACTAATGAGTCCCTTTTCATAAAGATAGAAACCGGATTTGAAGAAAGGTTTAGAAACGGATGGAAGTGGGATAAAAAGGGTATGGAGGTGGGAGGAGGCTGATACTAGAAAGAGGTTAGAATAGGATAACGGAAAAAGTTTAAGGAGTGTTGGTATAGTCAGGATCCTTCAGATCTCACAATAACGATAAAAACATAAGTTTCTTCTTATTTTCCCATTTATCAAATCATGATAATGCATTATTACTTCTTTTTAGGGATAATTAAATTTATTTGAGAAATCTTGTCCCCCCCCCCTCTATTGTATAAATGTAAACACACTATTTCAGGGTAGGTTAGGTTAAGAAAGATAGAGTTACTGAGGTTGCACACTTGAAAAATTATGTTTGTACCTAATTGGAACTTTTTATTCGAAAAATTAATTTTCTATAAAAAATAGTACAATTTCCATACCTGGTTTTTAGATTCTACGATTTTAATCCTCCATTAAATTCTCTTTTCAAGTTATTCCCCCCTTTCATGAAAGTGATGATTTATTGTCCTATGAACGACAAAAAGCCTCAAAATATGTATTCAAACTTTGAAAAATAGAAATGTAATGAATCATAACATTGGATGCATCCTAGAGGTGTTTATATACATTTATAATAATTAAAGAAAAAACCAAAATTATGTATTCTCCATTGTCTGCGTTAGACTGGATAAAACATGGTGTAAGAAATGGAAAACCTAGTTTCTCCAAGTTTTATCTGAACCTGTGAGAAGGTTGAATCCATCAGTAGATGATTGTATCCGGAGATGGATTCCGTCCTAAGCTTGATCTGTGTGTACGGCCTGCTAGAAAAAGCAATAAAAAACTGTCATAATGGATTATACCGCATCATGGAGATATACCGCAGAACCCATCCTTCAATCCTACCCTCAGAACCTCCCTCTTCACCCCTCCCC